AGAGGTTTTTACAATAGAAAAAGGTACAAGACAGGGATGTCCATTGTCACCGTTACTGTTTGTTTTAACCTTGGAAATTTTGTTGATTAAAATTCGAGAGTCGCAGGAAATAAAAGGAATAGAAGTTAACAAAAAAGAATACAAGTTAAGAGCTTTTGCAGATGATTTGGTGGTTACTCTGTCTCAACCTATCTATTCTGTAGTAAAGTTACTACAACTGATTCATCAATACGGATGTATTTCGGGTTTTAAAATCAATAATAATAAGACCAAAATATTACCTAAAACATGACTAATCGGGATAAGCAGATTTTGGTTAATCTAACTGATTTTGAAGTTGTTGATAAGGTAAAATATCTGGGGGTTATTTTATCTGTTTCTAATGCAAAATTGTATAAGAATAATTATGAAAGGTTGTGGATCAGGGTACAGAAAGACTTGAAGAATTGGGATAAGTTACAGTTATCTCTTATGGGTAGAATTGCAGTGATTAAAATGAATGTCCTACCAAAATTTCTCTTTTTGTTTCAAATGCTACCTATTTTAAAGAATGAGGTTAGCTTAAATGAATGGCAGAAAGGCATTAACAAATTTATTTGGGCAGGGAAAAAACCAAGGGTGAAGTTTAAAATTATGCAAGACTTCCGGGAGAGAGGGGGACTCAAGGTACCAAATTTGAAATTATATTATGATGCTGTGGTTTTAACATTGATTAGTGATTGGGTGAATTTAACAAATGTAGAAATACTCCATCTGGAGGGTTGGGATTTACTTTTTGGATGGCATGCCTACTTAATTTTTAACAAAAAAGTGGATCGAGTTTTTAAATCACATATTATAAGGATTTCTTTACTTCGGGTTTGGAGGAAATATTACAAGAGTGATTTTAAAATACCTCTATGGGCCATACCTTGGCATGCGATAGAGGGGATAAGGAGAGGAGTTAAAATGGATAGGGTTTCTTATACACAATTACTTAGATGGGATGGTCAAAATTGGCAGTTAAAATCGATGGAAGATTTAGCACATGAAAATATTACCTATTCATGGTTTCAATATAGACAATTAGTGGATAGATGGAAGATGGATTGTAACATGGGCTGGCTTAGAGAAGATGAAAATCTCTTTAAACAAGTAAAGGATCAAAGACAAACTCACATTAAGAGGGTTTACGGGGCTCTAGTGGAATTGGATTCAGAATCTGAATTAATTAAAGATTGTATGATTAAATGGGCACAAAATTTTGGTGAGCCAATCCCACTGGACACCTGGGAAATTATTTGGGTGAGGAATGTTAAATTTACACAAGCCCAGAACTTAAGGGAGAACTTTTACAAAATGTTTTATAGATGGCACCTTGATCCACAAAAAATGTCTCTTATGTACCCTGATTTACAGCCTAAATGTTGGAGATGTGGTTGTTTGGATGCCACTTATTATCACATTTGGTGGTCGTGCAAAAACATAAAAGCTTTTTGGATTAAGATATGGTGGAATATTCAAAGAATTTTTAGAAAGAGGGTAAAATTTACTCCGCAATTATTTTTGTTAGGTATTGTTATTGATTGTGATGCTAAGGAGGTTATATTGATGCTAAATTTGATTACAGCCGCAAGGCTGTTAGTAGGGCAATATTGGAAGAAGGAATCTTTGCCTACCATGCAAGAGTGGTTTTTTAAAGTTTCATACCTGGCGGAAATGGCAAAGATTTCGGCTTTTTTAAAGGAGCAATCGCAAGAGAAATTTTTTGTTGTATGGGAAAAATGGATAAATTTTATACAACATAAATTGGATATAAAAAATATCATTTAGCTTTTTTATAATTTGTATATAACTTTTGATATTTTGTGGATTGTACTTTTTCCTTTTTTTCCTTTTTCTTCTTTTTTTCTCTATTTCTTTTCTTTTTTCTCCTTTCTTTTTTCTTTTTTCCTTTTTAAGTATTTTTTTTAATGTTTACGTCATATATATTTTATTATTAACTATTTTATAAGTTGTTAAAATTTGTTTAGGTTTTTAAAATTTTAATTAAGCCTATATTCAGTTCTAGGAAGCTCGGGGGGGGGATGGGGGGTTGGTTTGGGAGGGGTTGGGTGAGGGTTGTTTTGGTTTTTTTTTGTTGTTGTTCTTTTTTGTTATTTGTAAAAACTTTTAAAAACTTTCAATAAAAAAAAATGTAATTCTATTTTTAAAATGCCAGACAATTCACAATTGTACTTCAACAACATTTTGTCCATCCATGCAAAAGCACTGAAAGATAAAATATCTTAATAGACAATTGTAAGTATGGAAATATTCCTTTAATATGATACAATTACCCCCAAAATATGAGCCAGTAAACACAAGCTTACTTCTTAGCAGACATGAATATGATTGTATTTTAAATTTCATTGATTTCAATGAAAGAATAATAGATGTGCCTAATCACTTCCACTGGAATCTGTCAGATGGAACTGACTTTCAGACTTTGAAAACTTGTCTTTTAGCCAATCTTGCATCAATGCTAGGGATTTGGAACAGAACTGCTCTCTTAAGCAAGGAAAAATTGATGGAAAAATATTATTTTCTAGGATAGTCTCTTCTATAGGGTCCTATAAGTGACAATGTTTCCTATCTCAGCGATTATAGATCTCATCAGGAAGAAGCTTCTCCTATTTTTTGAAGGAGGCTAACTGGGCAATGCTGTTTTAGAAGAAGCTCTTTCCATCTCAGTTGCTCTCTGAAATTCATTAAAGTGACTGGATGTTTTTCACACATCTCCAACACACTGAAACAAAATGATGTGGATGTTTTATGAGTTGCAGGAACTTAAATAAGTGAAGTAATGCCTTTTTTTCCCCAGGATGATGGCCCTGATTGCATGCTCAAAGCCCCAGTGCTTTGTTTGCGCGTGAGAGACACTGACACATGTGCAAGAGGGTGAGGTTTCAATCATGTGGTCATGACCATATCTCGACTTCTTTGCCTCCTCTACAGAAATCGCTCTGAATATTAGCAGTTATCGGTAAATAACTGTTAACGAAGAACAAGTATTGGGGTGAATGTAGATAGATTGTACTTTGAAAATACTATTCATTCAAAATTAGGGGTAAACATCAACATCTTGTCTAAAAGAACAAACCCATGTATGTTTACTCAACAGAAAGTCCCACTGTGTCCAATGTGCCTGATTCTCTAGCAAAAGTGCTGAGGACCACTATTTTAGAACAATACTGATTGACAGGAATTTGCATGATTTTTCATTGCATTTATGGTTTGCATTTATAGATAAGTAATATAGGAATGAAAAGGAAAATTTTTATAAAAATCTAAATTTTGGAGCTTAAAGGTCCCCTTAGAGAAAAAAAATACACTAGGGGAATGACAGTTAAGGAGATGATTCTTTCTCAACACAAACAGACATTGAACATTAATTTTTTAAAAAAAGATCTAGAATATATTTCTCTGAACCTTGAAATGCAACTCTAGACTAATTAGAAACATATTGATTATTTATACAGGGATAAAATGTTATTTTTCAGATGAAAAATTCAAATATATATTTGATATTTTGATACTGGACTAACAGTAATCACATTTTTCCAAAGAATGAAACAAAAAGTAAAACAGTACAGGGCAGTACAGCAGTAACAAGCTATATTGAAGATGTATGTGGGGAAACAAACACACAAAGATACTTAATGTCTTTCGAAATCTGAAGAGAACAAGAACAGAAAATTGTTCCCAAATCTCAGAAATATCATTGATCACAGTATTTCCCATTAATAATGCAGTGTCAAATCATGCACACCTCTAATGCCTTTTTATCTAAGAGTAGGGTGGAGTTTTGTTTTAAAAGATCCAGGTCAACTTCATTTTGCTTCTGTTCAAAATTTAAAAACATTTAATGCACTCTTTTGTAAATTCCATTTAAACAGCAGCAATAACAATAATACTATATACCAAGAAGGCCCAGAAAATAAAGGCGCTATCAAAAATATTACATCACTTTCAGGTCTTCTATTCCACAAAAATAGCATGCTAATAAATAACACAGGCAGTCAGTGGAAAGTCCCATTGCTTCAAGAAAACAAGTACTTTGAGACCCAAAATATATCAAATTAGCATGTAAAAATTAGGTATATAAATGTAAGATACATGCATGAGTGCAAGTATGTGTTCGGTTTGCTTTTTTGATCTCAGTCTTTTGAAGAGTAAATTGTGACAAAAAAAGACAACAGTTCTCTAAAGTGCCTTTTGGAATATTATTTATCTAATGTTTATAATTATTCAAAATTTGCTCCCCCCCATCATATCTTGTGCTTTATGACTGGTGAAGATTTTGAAGGAAAGGCCAAATTGTTCAAGAGAAGCTGAAAGAAACATGGGGGGAGAAGAACTGAACAGGCAATTATTTAAACCTTCTCTAGTGGAATTGAAAGAGATTGCATTTTTCACCAAACATCTTATCTCTTAAGGAGAAGCAAACATTATACTCTTGCAGTGGTGCAAGCCTGTCTTTCACTCTTGACCAAGATTGATCAAGATTAATTTTGAATTTGAATTTTCCCAATTTGTTTTCTTGTATTTTATTTTAGGAGTAAGATAGCCCTATTGCGTTCTCATTATTTCAGTCCATTTGTACAACTCACTGATTCATTTCTTTGTTTGAGATTTTTAACACAAGGAGAATTTGTGCATCTTAACAGAGTAATAGAAATAAGTTTGCTTTGCACTTCTATTTGTTTCTATGTGTTTTGTACTATCTCTGTGGCATTTTCTGAAGTTCATTCACCATTCAAATCTCAGTGAAAAAGTGGACCTGAAAGTGAAATATGGGAAACGGGAAACCTCCTCAACCAATTAACATTTTGGGTTGTGGCAAACAAGAATGAAAACAACAGAATGTTTTGCCTTAGAAAAGAAACGAGTAACAATGCTAGGTCTTATTTATTTAGATAAAGGTACAATCTCAGATTTTCAGGAAAACAGTGCACTGAAAAAAGCAAAAAGATACCTACTGCTACAATGAGGAAATCCAACCAACACCAGGCATTCGTGAAGAATTTCACAAATCCATAGGCACACCACTTCAACAACATTTCAAGGATAAAGATGTAGGTGAAGACTTTGTCAGCATACTCCAAGACAGTGCGTATTGTCTTTCTCTGTTCTATATAAATATCCTCAAAGGCCTAAGTAACAGAAGAACAGTAATTTTTGTCATATCTTAATCTTGGCATTACTGAGCTACAAAGGTGTTTTGTTTTGATGCAGGTACTTCTGGAGGAAGCTGTAGTAGCTGAACTCAGTTTACACATGTATTTTGAACCGTGGCGGCGCAGTGGTTAGAATGCAGTATTGCAGACTAACTCACTGCTCATTGCCAGGAGTTTGATCCTGACAGGCTCAAGGTTGACTCAGCTTTCCACCTTTCTGAGGTTGGTAAAATGAGGACCCAGATTGTTGTGGGGGGCAATAAGTTGACTCTGTAAACTGCTTAGAGAGGGCTATAAAGCACTATGAAGCAGTATATAAGTCTAAGTGTTATTGCTATTGCTACTTATTTGTGATCTCTCAGCATTTAACTGCAGGTTGTCCTCAACTTACAACTAGTTGCTTAATGACCATTTAAAATCATGATGAGCCTGAATGAGATGCCTTATCACCCATAAAACATTTCTGACCTTGTGTCACCCCTCCCCGTGACTGCACTTTGGGTGCTTGGCAATGAATTGGCCTTTATGACTGGTTGTGGTGTCCTATGGTCACATGACAGTAATTTGTGACATTTTTTTTGCTGGTTTAAGGCAACACCCTCCCATTTAGAAAATGACTGTTGCAAAAAAAAGTTGTAAAATTGGGGTCACTTATGTGGTTGACTTGACTTATGACCATAAATCTGGTCCTAATTGTCACAAGTTGAGGACTACTGTATTAACTCAAAGGCTGCATAAAGAGGCAAAGGAGCTAAGTTCACACCTTTGCAGCCCAATTACCAACCCCTTTTCCCTTCCTAAAATCAAACATTACCATATTCTTCCGTTTGACCTGTGTGAGCAGCTCTTTTCTTTGTTTTCACACTGCCTAGACTTAAGGAGAGACCAGCACTAGCAGAGGAAAGAACACTGTGTTGTTTTCAGATAGGGATTTAGAGTGTGTAATTCTCACGCTTTGCTGGCTATGCACAAATGGCCATTTACTATTTATTACACTTACACAATGCATCTGAGACAAACCTTGTCATGAATATGAAATACTGCTGCAAGGGGAGAACAAGTCTAAAGGCCCCCTCAATGTCAGTGTAAGGTCCTGCTGAAATATCTGGGATATCCTAAAAATCCATCAAATGTACTAGTACAAAATCCTTCTGCAGTAGCTTTAGTAAAGGATGGTGTTTCATTGTGAATATGCCAAGGAGGAATAATTTCCTATCGTACATCTATGGCACCTCTGGCTGCTGCTACCTAATATTTTTTTCCAAAAAGGAGAAGGCATTTGCACCTGATTCATGAATTTCAAATATTGTTCAGTTTGACTAGCAAACTAAAATGTTGCTCACCAAAGCTCCACTGCTGAGCAAGATCATGAAGATAATGAAGGTTTCAAACCAGTTATGTTCCACAATGAGAAAACATGTCTTTCTTAAATTCCACCAAGACTTGCCCAGTCCTTCTTCTATGCTGACTTGACAGCATTTGAACCGTTGAACACAGCCTGCAAAGGTAGAATTAACTTCGTAATTAATTTTGTTACAGAAAACCACTCCAAGAGTCATATGTTATCCAGCTGTAAGGTATTTTCCCATTATCCATTCATTCCAAAATGCTGTCAATTAAAATGAACACGGAGTACAAATCTTATAGCTAAATCTCACGCCTCTAACGCTATGCCATCAAAAGGAAACAAGTTAGTGATTCAATAAAATAATATGGTAAAATATTGCTATAAACATAAGAGGCATCATGAGTTTCAGATCACTTGGCTAAAAGGCGTCCTTGCACCTTCTTCATAATGGCATTTTAGAGATTGGTGAAAATTTACATTAGTATAATTTCAGGTTCCATTCCATTTATTGCAAGAGTCTCCAATTTGCAGCCATGGGCTACATATGGCCCTGGACAGCTAGTAATGTGGCCTCACAAGATCGTAAACTTTTAACATTATTATGTGACTTTATATTATAAAAGTACATGTTTTATATGAGGCCCAAGAAAATTCTTCTTCACGGAATGCAGCCCAGGCAAGCATAAAGGTTGGATTTATTACATTCATTCTTCCCTCCAAATGGGATTAATCAGGCCTCCAGCCATTGAACAACTGAAAGTAGAAGGAATACATAAGCCAAATTGAAAGGCCAAGAATAGAAATGTAAATCTGATTCTCTGTTGTGGTTTCTGTGCATCACCCATATGAGTGATGCATCTATGCAAAACCCTTGTCCTGTTCTTTCAGAGCTGAAGTACATTGTGAGAAACACACTGTCAGATGTGCATGATCTTTATTCCAGAAGGACTCACAGCTCAGTCATTTTGTGCAGTTCCTCTGCTCCAACAATTACCACAAACTCCAATTTTTGAGGTTCTCTAAGCATGCTACGTGACCCCAGCCTTTGACCTTTACTCATCAGAACTGTCATGATACAATATTCAGTCTTGAGCAAATAAATCTTTCAGTCAGGCATTTTGGGAAGCCATTCTTCACCAAGTCTGTCATAGAAGGTGTACCTTCCCCCCACCATGTGATAAACTTGCCACCTAGCTCTATGTTCCATATATAGAAGCCATAGAGAAAAAAAAAGTTCCTTGCTCATAACTGTTACCCTTTGAACAGTTTTCTGTACATTTCCACCTTCCCCTTTTTAGTTGTTTGCCTTGGTAAGTTTGTCTTGAAATTCCTATACTACCTTGAGAAAATTAGAGCAAAAAGCAGAAACTGCACCTAAGAGAATTGTTGTATGAGCTGCCATGTAAATGTCCATCAACAACCCCAAACTGTATTATATTATGTTGTGGGCTTTGTAGGAAATGAAAAATGATGGATGAATTCTTCCCATTGTCTTGAGGATTTTTACATATATCCCGTATTTAGTATCACCTTCAGTGAAACATGCGTCAGGATCCAAGTATTCTTCTGGTGCTTCCACAGGTACCTCTTCTACCTCTGGTTTTATATCTATAGTGCTCCCCTCTGATGAGCTTGTATCATCCAGCTTCTGGAATAAAAATGATAGATTCTTTATAGAAACAAAACAAAACAAGGATGTTCTGGCAACTTAAAACGAAATTCTAAAAGAAGAACTGAGGGAACAAGAATGATTAGCCTTCAGAAAATTGAGAGGAAAAGCCAAGAGAGGGATGGTAAAATAAGCCCTAGCTGAACCTGTATTAAACAAATTAATAAAACATTCATTTTTCTGGAGCAGTATGCCACTTAATATTAACTGCAGTTGATCGACAATATTTTCTTGTCCTACAAAACAAGTGGTTTGCAGATTGAGGAAACTGATTCTGACGTGAACAGATAGGTAGGAAAAGATGCAAACAGGAACTTAATTATCTACGAGTTTCTGCATTTCCCAAATGTATCTTTGATTTGCTCCAGCTGGCCTTTCCTTTTGTTCTTATGAGTGACATATCAATACTATACAAAATACTTCATTATTTTAAGATGCATTTTTCCAAATACGGCTAACAGCACCAAATCTATGGGCATCTATGCTATAGCTATCAACCCCCATATGCTTCACAACAACCTAGTGCTCTGATCAAAACATCACTCTGCTTCATTGTAAAGCTTTGTTCTTTAGTCACAAGTCTTCCTTTGTTACCCCTGTAATACAAATGGCTATCCAAAACGATGGCATGACAACATGGTTTGAGTGAGCATCGGGTCATACCTCTTTGCTGCCGTCAGTATCACTGCTGAAATCTTCTGTGTTGAGGTTCTCAAAGTCAGACTCACCCACAGCAATGGGAACACGAACAGTGAGGTGAGGGTTGTTGATGAATGACATGTGGTCTTCATCAATGATGTACTTCTCTACGCTGCTGCCAATGCCACTGGTGGTGCCGTTCCCATTCTTCTGATAATCAATCTCCCGATTGATATCTACCCCTGTATGGTTAGCAATGCAGTTCATCTTCTTATCGTACAGCTCATCCAGTGGCTTAACTTCATCTGCCTCTCTCTGCTTGAAGTGCGTCTGCACAAATTCATGCACTTTAATCTTTGTCCAAGCAATGCCCTTCTTGATCCGGATGACAGAGATCTGCAAGTTGTTCATCTCACCATCATCATCACTGGCTGCAAGGTTGTCTGCACTAAAAGAGCTCAGCAACAAGGCCAAGAACAGATTCAGCACCTGAATGAGCAGAAAAGGCAGATCAGGGCGATGCTTCTTAACCAGCAATTGGTGCATTTCCCCCACAAAGGCACTATTTCACCTGGCAGTAGTAGGAGACGTAAGACAGTTTTGCTGGGACCAAATTGCCAGTAGGATCCTCCAATAACAACAGTCATTCTCTGATAACAAGTAAAAATGAATTTGCTTATTGATTCTTCTCTCCCTTTTTCTTTTTGTAATTCTGTGCCACACATACGTATGGTATGTGTGAACATGTGTATGTGTGTATATAAGCACTCCTATAGTACAATACATTTTTAATTACATATTCACACACACACACACACACACACACACACACACACACACATTATATACATAATACATCTCTCTATGTATTTAATTCACTCACTCATTCATTTATATATTCATTCATTCTTATAATTAGAAAGCAGTAGTAAAAAATCCCTTTATGGATTACTGCCTTGTCATGGCGAAGGGGCTTGCGTAACTCAATGAAGCTATAAGCTATGCCGTGCAGGGCCACCCAAGACGGACAGGTTATAGCAGAGAGTTCTGACAAAATGTGATCCACTGGAGAAGGAAATGGCAAACCACTCCAGTATCTTTGCCATGAAAACCCCATGGACAGTACTAAAAGGAAAAAAGATATGACGCTGGAAGATGAGCCCCTCAGGTCGGAAGGTGTCCAATATGCTACTGGGGAAGAGCAGAGGGCTAGTACTAGTAGCGCCAGAAAGAATGAAGCGACTGGGCCAAAGCCGAAAGGACGCTCAGCTGTGGATATATCTGGTGGTGAAAGGAAAGTCCGATGCTGTAAAGATTTTTTCTCCATAGGAACCTGGAATGTAAGATCCATGAATCAAGGCAAGCTAGACGTAGTCAAAAAAGAGATGACAAGACTGAACATCGACATCTTAGGAATCAGCGAACTAAAATGGACAGGAATGGGTGAATTTAACTCAGATGACCATCAGGTATACTACTGTGGGCAAGAATCCCTCAGAAGAAATGGAGTAGCCTTCATAGTCAATAAAAGAATAGGAAAAGCAATACTGGGATACAATCCCCAAAATGACAGAATGATCTCAATTCGAATCCAAGGCAAACCATTCAATATCACAGTAGTCCAAATCTATGCCCCAACCACTGGTGCTGAAGAGGATGAAATTGACCGGTTCTATGAAGCCCTACAGCACCTTATAGAATTAACACCAAAAAATGATGTCCTTATCATCATGGGGGATTGGAATGCTAAGGTAGGAAGCCAAAAGATAACCGGAATAACAGGCAAGTTTGGCCTTGGAGAACAAAATGAAGCAGGGCACAGGCTAATAGAATTTTGTCAAGAGAATACGATGGTCATAACAAACACTCTTTTCCAACAACCCAAGAGACTGCTCTACACATGGACATCACCAGACAGTCAACATAGAAATCAGATTGACTATGTACTCTGCAGCCAAAGATGGAGAAGCTCTATACAGTCAGTAAAAACAAGACCAGGAGCTGACTGTGGCTCAGATCATGAGCTTCTCGTTGCAAAATTTAGGCTTAAATTGAAAAAAGTAGGGAAAAGCACTAGGCCACTCAGGTATGAACTAAATCATATTCCTGATGAATATACAGTAGAGGTGACAAATAGATTTAAGGAACTGGATCTGATAGACAGAGTGCCTGAAGAACTATGGATGGAAGTTCGCAACATTGTACAAGAGGTAGCAACTAAAACCATCCCAAAGAAAAAGAAATGCAAGAAAGCAAAATGGCTGTCTGAGGAAGCTTTGCAAATAGCTGAGGAAAGAAGGGAAGCGAAAGGCAAAGGAGAAAGAGAAAGATACACCCAATTGAATGCAGAATTCCAGAGAGTAGCTAGAAGAGATAAGAATGCCTTCTTAAATGAACAGTGCAAAGAAATAGAAGAAAACAACAGAACAGGGAGGACCAGAGATCTCTTCAAGAAAATTGGAGATATGAAGGGAACGTTTCATGCAAAGATGGGCATGATAAAGGACCAAAATGGCAGAGACCTAACAGAGGCAGAAGAGATTAAGAAGAGATGGCAAAACTACACAGAAGAACTATACAAGAATGAGCTTAACATCCCAGATAACCACAATGAGATGGTCACTGACCTCGAACCAGACATCCTAGAATGTGAAGTGAAATGGGCCTTAGAAAATCTGAGCAACAACAAAGCTAGTGGAGGTGACAGTATTCCAGCTGAGCTATTCAAAATCTTAAAAGACGATGCAGTAAAAGTGCTACACTCAATTTGCCAGCAAATTTGGAAAACTCAACAGTGGCCACAGGATTGGAAAAGGTCAGTTTACATTCCAATTCCAAAGAAAGGCAATGCCAAAGAATGTTCAAACTATCGCACCATTGCACTCATTTCACATGCTAGTAAAGTTATGCTTAAAATCCTACAAGCTAGACTCCAGCAGTATGTGGATCGAGAACTACCAGAAGTACAGGCAGGATTTCGAAGAGGCAGAGGAACTAGAGATCAAATTGCCAACATACGCTGGATCATGGAGAAAGCTAGGGAGTTCCAGAAAAACATCTACTTCTGCTTCATTGACTATGCAAAAGCCTTTGATTGTGTGGATCACAACAAATTGTGGCAAGTTCTTAAAGAGATGGGAGTACCAGACCATCTCATTTGTCTCTTGAGAAACCTATATGCGGGTCAAGAAGCAACAGTGAGAACTGGACACGGAACCACTGATTGGTTCAAAATTGGAAAAGGAGTCCGGCAAGGCTGTATACTGTCGCCCTGCCTATTTAACTTATATGCAGAGCACATCATGAGAAAGGCAGGGCTAGATAAATCAAAAGTTGGAATTAAGATTGCCGGGAGAAATATCAACAACCTAAGATATGCAGATGATACCACTCTAATGGCAGAAAGTGAAGAGGAACTAAAGAGCCTCTTGATGCGGGTGAAGAAGGAGAGTGCAAAAGCTGGCTTGAAACTCAACATTAAGAAAACCAAAATCATGGCATCCGGCCCTCTCAATTCCTGGCAAATAGATGGGGAAGAAATGGAGGTAGTGACAGATTTTATTTTTCTGGGCTCCAAGATCACCTCAGATGGGGACTGCAGCCAAGAAATTAAAAGACGCTTGCTCCTGGGGAGGAAAGCTATGGCAAATCTAGACAACATTCTAAAAAGCAGAGACATCACCCTGCCAACAAAAGTGCGTATAGTCCAGGCCATGGTTTTCCCAGTTGCAATGTATGGCTGTGAAAGTTGGACCATAAGAAAGGCTGAGCGCAAAAGAATTGAGGCCTTTGAACTATGGTGCTGGAGAAGACTCCTGCGAGTCCCTTGGACTGCAAGGCGTTCAAACCGGTCAGTCCTAGAAGAGATCAACCCCGACTGCTCTTTAGAAGGCCAGATCCTGAAGTTGAAACTCAAGTACTTTGGCCACCTAATGAGAAGGAAGGATTCACTGGAGAAGAGCCTAATGCTGGGAAAGATTGAGGGCAATAGAAGAAGGGGACGACAGAGAATGAGATGGCTGGATGGAGTCACTGAAGCAGTAGGTGTGAATTTAAATGGACTCCAGAAGATGGTAGAGGACAGGAAGACCTGGAGGAATGTTGTCCATGGGGTCGTGATGGGTCGGACACGACTTCGCAATTAACAACAACAACAACAAGTAAAAAATACCCCTGTCGGGTTAATAGAAGCTGTATGGGTGCCACATACAATCTTATGAATTACAGACAGCAACTGCATCACAAACCCCAACATTTGGAAGTATATATTTTCTCTGTTTTTTTCTGCCTCCCTTGCAAGACTGCCATACTGAATTTCCATTTTGATTACAGGATGAATGTGACTAAATTTTTTAATTAATTTGCTCTCCCCACCACCACACTTTTGCATGCACATGTAGAAAATTGTGAAACATTTTGAATTCAAGGGCAAAAAGATGCTTCTGATTATGCAGGATACAAACATGGCATCTATCTGCAACTCCTTGAAACAACTGACTCTTTCCTAGAATAGGAAAGTCTTCCCTTTGAATCTGAAGAATGGCACAGCTATAATTCGTACATATTGCTTTTTTCTATTTTCAATTCTGGAAGATAATGATGCTAGTAAAAGCATCTCAAGAAGCCATGCAGAAAGAAAGCAAATTTTGGGATGATTGAAGAGAGGGCGATTATCACAGATATTCAATGCAGTTTGCAGAAGGATCTCCAAATGTATTCTATTCAACATTTGAGCTGTTGGGCGATCCAGCTTGTTTCTCCTAATAATACTGAAAAATTAGCACTGGAACTATTCTTAAATGTAACATATTTAACATGGAATTAAGCAGGCTATTTCATTTCCCATTTTAAACTGTAGTACATAATCATTTCTCCTCAAGTGAAGAGATCTGCCTCATCACAGTTGTGTGTGTGTTCCTAGGAAGGTTGAGTAAGAAACATTGGGTGTGTACTCCAAAAGTACATAATCCAGCAGGGTAATCTAAGGCTGAATATCATCGTAGCTGCTAGCTAAAACAAACATGACTCTATATTGAATAGCAGTGAGGTAGGAGGATGTGAGGCAGATGATCAGTTTTGTGACAACAGCAAAGACATAAATTCATACTGCATAAAAGAAGGCAATGGTAAACCACTCCTCTATTTTTACCACGAAAACATATGGATAGACAATATCCCAAAGGTGCACCTTTTTCAAGCACCTTTGGAACAACCATGACCTGGATGACTGAGAATCTCCATAGACATGGACAGACAATATAAAATTATTGAAAATATAGTGTTGGGGCATAGGCTCTTCAGTTCAGATGGCAGTCAATCTGCTACTGAGGAAAAAATTGAGGATCTTTCAGAGATTAATTATGTTTATAATGGGACCACATAATGTAAGCTTGAACATGTAAACTCAACATAATGAATGATAGAATCAATGGACTACACATTGAAATATAGGCATCAGTCAATTGAAGTGAACTAGAATTGGAGTCTTTTCAGTCAGAAAATAATATGGTTTATTATTAAGGACACAAAAAATTTAAAAGGAACAACTTTGATTTCATACCCAGGATGGGTAGTATTTGGCTATGCAGTCAATAGCTGAATAATACCACATAGACTTCGTAGACAACCCATTAATATGATGATTATCCAAGTTCATGCTCCAACCACTTATGCATAAGATGGCTAATGTGTTTTATGATCAAATTTAATCTGAAATCAACAGATCAGGCAAACAAGAGACTGGACTACCAAAGTTGGAAATGTTAAGAAAGAAAATATAATTGGATTGTAAGACTTAGGAAACAGAAATGAAGCAGGAGAATGTCAACATTCAAACAACCAAAATAATGCTTATGAATATGGTCATCACCAGATATCACATAAACACAAATTTATATTATTGGTACAAGGAGGTGGAAAAGCTCAGCTGTAACAGTAAAAACATGGCTAGGATCTGATTGTGGAACAAGTTATCATGTGCAAGTTCAAAGTCAAGCTACAGTGGGAGAAGAAAGTCAACCAGTATCCACAAAATAATCTTGAACATCTATTCACAATTTTCAAGCAGAATATCAGCAATCACATCAGAATCTTGAACCTCATTAATACAGAATAAGGAGAACTATGAATGAAAGGATGACTGTGAACACAGATTGCCAAAGATGAAACAGAAGAAAGAAAACTGGATGTCAGAACAAACAGTGGAAAATATCAAGAAGAGAAGCCAAAGTAAACAAATACAAGATCTCAAAGGAAGAATTTAACACATATAGAAAAATAAGGAAAGTCTTCCAAATGATATCCAAATTTAGAAGGAGGTCCCTACTTTGAGGTAGTATGCTATGGGATACTAGTGGATAAATAGTCAACTTCCAAGATACCTTCCAAGATATTCTCTATTTACAAAACCTCTAATAGTAGATAAAGTTAGACCAGTACTTCAATCATACTGGGTTAATATTGTATCCACAAAAATATGGCAAGCAACAGATGAACAATCAATAAAGATTTTAATCACACTATACCAGCAAATCTGGAGAATGACATATTGGCCAACAGACTGGAAGAGGTCAGGCTCAGGGCTTTTCAACCTTTTCACCAATTGTACCACTTTTAGAATATGGCAACATTTGAGTACCACCAGTCACCTAGCAAGGTGTCAAAAACTTGATGACAGGTAGTCCTTGACTTACAACAGTTTGCTTAGTGACTGTTCAAAGTTACAATGGCACTGAAAAAAGTGACTTATGACCATTTTTCATACTTGTCCGTTGTAGCATTCTCCAGGGTCAGGTGATTTACATTTGGATGCTTGGCAACCGATTCATATTTATGATGGTCACATTGTTCCAGGGTCATGTGATTGCTTTTTGCAACCTTCTGACAAGCAAAGTTAGTGGGGAAACCAGATTCACTTAACAACCATGTTACTAATTTAACAACTGCAGGGATTCACTTAACAACTGTGGAAAGAAAAGTCATAAAATGGAGCAAAGCTCATTTAACAAATTTCTCTCCCCCCCTTTTATATCCAAGTTCCCTCCCTTCCTCTTTCCTTCCTTCCTTCCTTCCTTCCTTCCTTCCTTCCTTCCTTCCTTCCTTCCTTCCTTCCTTCCTTCCTTCCTCCCTCCCTCCCATTCTCCCTCCCATTCTCCTTCCTTCCTTCCTTCCTTCCTTCCTTCCTTCCTTCCTCCCTCCCTCCCTCTCTCCCTCCCTCCCTCCCTCCCTCCCTCCCCTGCTTTTTTTTAAACTGCCAGAGGCTCCGGGAAGAGGTGGCAACAGGCAGGCAGTAGTGGGCAAAGGCTTCCCCTCCCCCGTCATTGCCTCTGCTTGGCTTGGCTCAGCTCAGCTCACCTCTCCCAGACCTGTGCACGTGTTTGTGTGTGTGCGAGTGTGCATACCAGGATCAGTGCTGCTTTCCAGGTGATCGGCACTTCTTCTGGGCTCAGCTGATGCACTGGGATCAGCGCCGAGCTCCAGCTGGAGCCTGGCACTGATCCTGGCGCTTCCACTGAGCTCTGACAGCCCCGAAGAAGCGCCAATTAGCTGGAAAGCAGCGCTGATCCTGGCGCTTCCGCTGAGCCCTGACAGCCCTGCAGCTCCAGCTGTCTCTCTCTCAGGCTTGTGTGGTGCTGCGCCGGTTCAGCTCATTCCCCTCCTCCACTACCACTTTTCGAGGATGGTCGTGTACCACGTGGCAGGTGCTAATGTACCACAGGTGGTACCCCTACCACCGGTTGAAAAGCCCTGGTCTAGATAACCTGTACCCAAGAAAGGAGTCTTAATAGAGTGTGCAAAAATAGGATTAAGACTAAATATAAAGAAGAAAAGAAGTCAAGAGGCACAGCATCCAGCCTTATATTTAATAATGAAGATACTAAGGTGGTAAATATCTTCTGCTGTTTAAGATCATTTACCACAGTCAAGGAATCAGTCAAGAAATATGCCACATGGGTGGAATAACAAGGAAGGCCTTGAAAAAAGATAGTTAGGTGCTCTGATGTCTTTAGCCACAAAAATCAGAATTGTGCAGGGAATGTTTTTTACTAACATTCGATAGAAAATTTGAAATTAGAAGCAGTGCAGAAATAATTTTAACATTATGAAACTTTACTGTTGGAAAAGACTCCTGATAACAGCATGGATAGCTAATAAAATACACAAATGAATCATAGAACAAATAAATCCAGAATTCTCTCTGAGAATGACCAGACTTGAATTATATTTTGGATACATTACACAAAGACCTAGCTGTCTTGTGAAATCTAAAATGCCAAGAAAGGTGGAAGGGAAAAGAAAAAGAGAACAACCAGCAGCAAGGTAAAAGGACTGGATTACAGTGGCAATGGATGCAGCATAAGAAGATCTGAAGAACCAGATTGGGGACAGATTGTCCTGCAGAAAATCTATTTATATGGTTGCTAAGAATCAACACCTACTTGATAGAACATAATCAGTTAATCAGTCAGTCAATCTAAACTTATTAGTTTATTCTCAATGGTACCCATTTCTGTCGTTTTAGGTATGGCTCATCTTGAAGAGTAAAAAAATTAAAAAAGGCAAAAACAAATTCAAGAGAAAAGATAAAACAAGTAATTGAAAGACAGCCAGATAAAATGAATTTTTATGTGAAAGTTAGATTTCAAGCACCAAATACTTTATTTGTCATCTTTCCTGAAAAATAGTTCTGGAGAATGTGAAAGTTTACACATTGTTTGTGAATGGGCCGGCTTAATTAAAATATTTAATATAGGAACAAATTTGTACAACTTGGAGGGGAAGAACAAAACAGATAGAATAGTAAAATGCTCATTTTTTTAAAAAGACATGAACATTTAAAAAGTTGTATGCAGTTTGAAAAGATGGAACTCTTTTCAACATTCATATTTTTAAAATATGAATCACACTGTGGGACCAATGTTATGGCAGAAGCATTCTGCTTGACATAAATAATACAAGTTTTTTTCCTGCCCTTATGTTCTGCATTCCATACCATTTTATTAAGTAATATCACACACACACACACACACACACACACACACACACACACATATTTGGGCAACATTGCTAAGTCCATTATTACCCAAAACATCTTGTTAGTACAGATTCAGCATTGGATTTAGCATTCATGTGCAGTAAGGACTCCAGTATCATAATAGTTTTTCTCTTCTGATGCCTTCTTTAGAAGCTTTTTTAAAAGTGGTTTAATCTGGGAGCTGTAATTTAAATTTCTCACAATATCCCAGAATAATGCTATTTTTGAGAAATGAATACCTACGTGAGTAGCTCAGTATCATTATATAGGACCCCCAGACATCTATCTTTAACAACAAATTGGATTATTACAAGATAGCCATTCACTTCCCACTTAAAAAGAACCATAGATATTTACTGACCACCAGATTTCCAATGACCATCACCATCATGAAGACAATAAGGCACATTGCCTGTCCTGCCACTTCCATACAGTCCCACATAGTTTCAATCCATTCTCCACATAGTACACGGAAGACGATAAGAAAAGAGTGGAAGAAGTCATGCATATGCCATCGTGGAAGATCACACTCAGGGTTGATTTTGCAGACACATTCCTTGTAGTTCTTGCCAAAAAGCTGCATCCCCACTACAGCAAATATGAAAACAATGATGGCCAGCACCAAGGTCAGGTTCCCCAAGGCACCCACTGAATTACCAATGATTTTTATCAGCATGTTCAGAGTTGGCCAGGATTTTGCCAGCTTGAAGACTCTCAGCTGCAAGATGAAGGAGAAAACACACATACTTAATGAAAGTGGGGGGAGGGGGGGAAACGACACGATAAAACAATACTTATAGAAACAGGATCAGTTTCAAGAGACGTTAACTGATCGTCATTAATTAAACACTGGACAGGAATCTCTAGAGATAAAGAATTATAACGATGAATTTTTATCTGGAAAGGCTCATCATGAAGCCTTTCGATCAGCCATTATCACTGTACATCGTGCCAAACATGAAAACATAATTTTGCAGGTTGGGAATATTTAATCCAGTCTTGAGATCCATTTGACTTTAAGGCCTGGGAATATTTTTACTCTTCCGGGAATATACTTCTATATATTACATATTACCGTATAATACTATAAAAGCAATTTTAACAGGCTGTAAAATTATTTTTTCTGTCAATTAATTCATCTCATTTTGATAAACAATATGGTTCTTTTTAATTATCCTTCTGAAATGTACACAATGCTGATAAATATAACAATAACACTCAAGAGACAATCTGTTTTTTCACCACATTGTTTCTTTCCACTTCACTTTACTTTTCTGCTCCTATTCTCTGCATAATAGATAGAATTTTCTCCGATGGACACTCCTTTTCTATTAGTTTCAATTGCATGAATATTTATAGTGGCCCTCAGTTCATCCTCATAGGTGCTACTTGAGAAAGATCAGATACACTGATGTAAATGATGAAGACACATAATTTGGGGAATCTTCAGTATCATAGCTGTACTATCTAAAGGCCTGAACTGGTTAGGGAGAATCATAACTGTTGAGTCCTCAAGTCAACGGCGAATGAATAGAGCACATTCTGTAATTCTAACAGCCTTTTATTTCAGTAGTTCTTTCTCCGTCACAGCTCTGAGGCTCGCAGGCCTCTCTGACTCCTTTAATAGAATCCCTGGGCAAAAAGGTAACATTCTGGTGCGCTTCTGCGCCTTGCGCATGCGCCCGAAGCCGGCGCCACTCAATCTGGTCCCGGGCAGCTTGCAACTGCCCGGGACCATTGCAATGTCTCGAGCCTGCCTTTGCAGGCTCAGGACACAACACCCCTTCCCCCCCGGATGAGACTTATTAACTATATAGGTAGATATACGCGACCTCAACACGAGTGTGGTGTGCCAACCCAAGAACCTGCACATCTGTTGCAGCTGTTCACTAGCCACACCACAGAATGGTACCAGGCTATTGTTTTGTAATTAATTGCCCAATACTCACACTCCCAGTTTTCCAACAACAGCAGGCACCCTCTCACTTTCCCTGCTTTGACAGCAGGGTTACAAAGTCCTCAAGGTACTTGGGAGATCTTTTTACTCTCTGTGACCTCCTCAGGTTCTGAGAACCCTCTGCTTCCTCTTGTGCAGAGGATAGAGTGGAGTTTCCCCCTCTTTTAAATCCTGGTGGTCCCCGTGAACTGTGTCCTGTTGCCTGGTCTGCTTGCTTGCCCACCGGGCTTGTCAGACCAGTACTTTGCTCCCCACTGAACCTGGTTGACCTGCCTAACTGTAGGCTCTCGGGCCCCTCTATATGCCCGCCAATGTTTGGCATTTCTGTAGAACTCTCCAAGTCCACAATGGACCTATCAAGGAAACGCATCCCTTCACTCCCAAGCCCCATAACGGGATTGTCTGGGGTTTCTGCAGTGCCCCAATACTCAGTTGCCCCCCATTCTATGCTGGAGGTGCCAGAATCAGGATTTGCCTCTCTGACTACCTCCCTGTGTGAAGACTTCTTTTTGGAAGCAGTAGCAGTGCTGGGCCAGCTTGACTGTTTGTGTGCCAGTTCTCTTGCAATGTTTGGGTTATTTGGATGCTCCCGGTTATTCTCCCTGACTGGAGTGCTGAATGGTAGTTGTTAATGATGAGTATGCCCCCTGGGTGACTCCCTGGCTGGAGTAGGCACTGGTGCCTGTATTATTTCTTGTTCCCCTGAATTCCTGTTTGGAACACTTGCGGAACCCTGGAACAGACCTTCTTCGGCCTCTCCGTTTGGCCCTGGCTGCTGCCAACACCCTTCCCTTTGCCCATAGTGGTCCCCCTCCCCCCCTGGAGAAAACCCAGGAGTTGCAGAGGGTAAGTCCAGTCTTGTACGCAGCTGATCGATATGCCACCGAAGAACACGACCGTCATCCAAGGAGACCTCGTAGGACAATGGACCAGTGACCTTGCATACTATGGCAGGAACCCACAAGTGACCGGGCTCATAGTTCCAGGTCCATACTGGGGCACCCACTTGCAGACACCGCGGTGCCCTGGGTTGAGTGACCTTAGGAGGCAGTCTGTCCGGGTGCAACCTGTCAAGTTTGGTGATCAGTTTGCGCCCCCAACGAAGTTCAACTGGGCTCTTCCCAGTGGAAGTTGAAGGTGTGGTGCGGTAAGTAAGAAGAAAGTCTGCCAACCTGTGGTGCCAGTCTCCGTAGGTCAGTTTCTTTAAAGCATCCTTGGTGATGCAGACCATCCGCTCAGCCATACCGTTGGTGGAATGGTGCAGAGGTGGCATGACAAATCATGTTGGCCTGCAAGAAAGCCTGAAACTTGAAAGAAGTGAATTGAGGACCATTGTCAGAAACCAGGACATCTGGGAGCCCATGTGCAGCAAAAATCCCTCTCAGTACTTGAATGGTCTTGGCAGCAGTGGTGGAAGAGACACGTACAACCTCAAGCCACTTTGAATGGCTGTCAACCAAGAAGAATTGACCCTGAAAGGGCCCAGCGTAATCTACATGCACCCTAGACCAAGGTGACTGTGTCTCCTCCCATCTATGCACAGGAGCCTGAGGCATTTCAGGGCGTGAGCGTTGACACAACTGGTATCCATGCACTTGAGCCTCTATTTCCCTGTCTAACCCTGGCCACCATAAATGGCTACGCGCAAGCGCCTTCATCCTGACAATGCCAGGATGACCCTCATGAAGGGAAGCCAAGACCCTAGGCCTCATTGAGGAAGGAATAATAACTCTGCTGCCCCCCAACAGACAACCCTGAAAAGTGGATAACTCATGCTTCTTGAGCCTGAAACTCTGAAATTTGGTACCTGGACAATTCTCAGGCCATCCAGACAAAACCCAGGACAATACACGAGTGAGTGTGAGATCCGTGGCTGATTCAGCAGCCACATCCCTGGCATTTAAGGGAGACTCAGGCAATGTCTGAATGGAAAGAATGTTGATGGCAGGGACAGGGTCAGCCTCTACCATTTGTAAAGGTAATCTACTAAGGCCATCAGCGTGGCCCATTTCCTTGGCAGGTTTGTGAACCAATGAAAAGTCATAGGCTGACAGAAAGATGGACCAAATCAGCATTCTAGGGGAAATGATATGGGGAGTTTGTTTGTTTGTAGTAAACAACCCTAACAGAGGCTTATGGTCAGTATAGACCGTGAAGTGTCTGCCATATAGAAAATCATGGAATTTTTTAATTCCAGCAACAATGGCCAAGGCTTCTCTGTCTATCTGACCATAGTTTCACTCAGCAGAGGAGAAAGTTCTGGAGTAATATGCAACAGGAACCTGAGTTCCATTGGTTCTTAAATGGCTAAGTACAGCTCCCACCCCATAAGGGGAAGCATCACAAGCAATACACACAGGAAGAGTTTCATTAAAATGTGCAAGCACATCATTTGATGTAAGTAAGGCCTAGACCTCATTGAAGCTTTCTTCATGTGCTTGTGACCACTGCCAAACTGCCTGTTTGTCTAAAAGTCTATGAAGTGGCTCTGCTACATTAGCTTTGTTAGGTATGAATGCATTGTAAAAATTCAAGAGGCCCAGAAAAGCTTGTAACTCAGCTTTAGACTTAGGCCTAGGGGCTTGCAGTATAGCTTTTAATTTAGACTCAGCAAGGTGAATACCCCTGGCATCTATTCTGAATCCCAGGAAATCTGTAGAAGACACTCCAATTTTGCATTTGTCTTTTTTAAGCTTGAGACCTGTTTTCCTGAAATGCAGCAGAACAGCCCTCAATCTCTCAGCTAAATTTTGAGTGGATTCTCCTGCTATTAGGACATCATCAAAATAGGGGCAAACCCCTGGTATACCTCTCAGGGTGTTTTCCATTACACTTTGGAAAATTCCAGGAGCTACATTCACTCTAAATTGTAGTCTTTTGACTTTGAATGCCCCCCTATGAGTTACAATAGTCTGTGCTTCAGCAGCAGCTTCATCAACAGGTAACTGTTGATAAGCCTGTGCTAAATCCAGCTTTGCAAAAACACGCCCCCCTTTGAAGGAGGCCAAAATGTGGCTGACTACAGGTACGGGATATGCATGCTGTTGCAATGCCTTGTTTAGTGTGCATTTGTAATCTGCACAGATGCAACTGTTCCCATTAGCCTAAATTGTGACTGTCCCCATTAGCCTAGTTCTAAAACACCTTACTGAATCAATTTGTCCAATTCAGCATCAATTTTTCCTTTCAAAGCAAAGGGTACTCTCCTTGCTTTCACCCTAATGGAAGTGACAGTGGGGTCCAGTTTCAAGGGGCCTTTGTATGCTCCCAGCTGGGGGCTGAAGACATCTGCAAATTCTTTGCAGACTTCTTGTAAACCTAATGTTTGCAAATTGTGTAGCCCTGCAACTTGTATTCCCAAGGCCTCAAACCAATCGAGTCCAATGAGACTCGTTCGTTCACCCCCAACTACCAATACATCTAATGGACCTTCAAAATCCTTGTATTGTACTTTAAGGGTGGCCTCCCCCTTAACACACAACTTGGAATTTTGGAAGTCTGTCAAGACTATATTGGATGGCCTAAGCTTGGCCTGGAACCCACTGCTAGAGCAAATCTTTCTGAAAGTGTGAATAGAAATGATTGAAAGGGCAGACCCAGTGTCCAGTTCCATAACCAATGGAACTCCTTGCAACTTCACCTTAAGTGACAATTTCTTTTTAAGTGGCCTCTGTGTGCCTGTCCTATAAATGCTTCTACATGATGCACAGAAACCCATCCTGTTTTAGCTGGGGACCCTGGTACCTTTCAGGCATAATTCTTCTCGGGGTTGTACTTTCTGACGGCCCAGACACACAGCTGCTATGTGGCCTTGCTTTCCACATGCTCTACAGATTGCAGAACGGAACCTGCAGTCGGTCCTCTTGTGGCGACTTCCACACCCGAAGCACTTGGGTACAGCTGAAGACTTTTCTTTGCCTTCCTTCTGCTTCCTTTCTCTGGCTGGGTAGAGATGATCCACCTCATCTTCAGGATCTTCTTCCGAGCTCTCCTGGATTCCCTCATGGTGCACAGAGATGGCTTCTGGGCTGTTCCTGATAGGCCTCATATTCTTGACTGCCCCCCCCCCTGCGGTGACCTCTCTCAAGGCATCTTGGAATGAAATTTCCTCTTTTGCAAAGAGTCTCTGTTGCAAGTCTCTGTTCCTACGCCCACATACAAATCAGTCTCTCAACCTTTCTTCTAAATCTTTAAAATCACAAGGCTTAGCTGCTCTTCTCAAGGCTGCAATGTATTCTTTAGCTGATTCACCAGCTCTTTGATCCCTCTGTTCAAAAGTGTGTCTCCATGCAATAACAGACAACTTGGGCTGAAAATGTTCCTTTAATAACTTTTTTAAATCTGTGTATGTGACAGATTCAAGAGGAGCAGGGGCTGCCAAATTTTCTGCAATTTCAAATGCATCTTGACCACAGACACACAGCAAAGTAGCGGCCTTCAAGCCATCTTCTCTTACTTGATTTACTCTAAAGTAATTTTCTACTCTGGCAACATAAGACTCCCATCTTTCTGGGTGAGTAACATCGAATTCAGACAGTCTCCCTATCTTCGCCATTCTTGCTTCTTACACTAGGAAGGGGTCTATCAGCCAGCTTACCTCCAGTGACGCTGTACTGGCAGGCCAGGTGCTGAGTTTAACGCCGTCTTCCTCTCTCCAGGACTCTTGGGGTAAGCTTACAATTCTTCCTTTTTGTTTTTGTAAGCTATCCCATCCTCGTCGCCAGTGTTGAGTTCTCGAGTCAACGGCGAATGAATAGAGCACATTCTGTAATTCCAACAGCCTTTTATTTCAGTAGTTCTTTCTCCGTCACAGCTCTGAGGCTCGCAGGCCTCTCTGACTCCTTTAATAGAATCCCCGGGCAAAAAGGTAACATTCTGGCGCGCTTGCGTGCCAAGCTGGCACCACTCAGTCTGGTCCCGGGCAGCTTGCAACTGCCCGGGACCATTGCAATGTCCCGAGCCTGCCTTTGCAGGCTCAGGACACAACAATAACATTTATGTATTTCTTCATTATTCCACTGGATGAAAAAGACTTTCATCAGTTGGAAAGAGGACACCGCTGAAAGGAACCATGTTTATTTCATTCAACTATGAAAGATTTGAAATGGAGCAATATAGTTACAGAAACCATAGACAGAAATCACAGAGACCCCAAGGAACTTTTTCTTGTTGCTGGATTAAAGCATTTCACAAATTTCAAACTCTCAAGCATCATTAGCACATGGTAATTTGTTTGCATGGAACCCAACAGCATTTTCTTATATTTATATCCAGATAAACATACATTTATAGCCAATGTTCAATGTGTAAAATAAATAAGGAATACCAATCGGAAAGATCGCAGCACTGAAAGCCCCTCCACATCTGCTAGCATCAGTTCTAGTAAACTGAGTGAGACAATAAATCCATCAAAAATGTTCCACCCTTCTTGAAAATAGTAGTAGGGATCCATCGCTATGAGCTTCAGGAACATTTCAGCTGTAAAAATTCCAGTAAAAACCTGAAAAGAAAGAGAACATTTAAACTGAATTAATGTAGGTTTGTGAACTGCGAAGGGAAGAGTAAAAAAAATTCTAGCTGCAGTTTGATAACAATTATTTTTTTTCTAGAATTTGAATGCTTGTTTCACCGCAAGAAATGTAGAAGAAATCTTCCAACTTTTCTCCTGGGAGCCGACTTGAGGTTTTAGGGATGAAGAAGAGAAGCACAGCTGATATTCAACCATCTCTCAGAAGTAAAATAAAATAATAAAAATAAAAGTAAAATAAACAGCAATACTGGGGACATTGATTTTTTTTTTTTAAAAAAATCATGTAGGGTTATTCCAGGAGCAGGATGGACCCTCTCCACCAAAAAAGCTGTAAATGATTTTGCTATAAATGTGCTTCTTAACGGCAAAACAAACTGGAAGAAATCCCTTGGTCATCTCGTATATTAAAAAAATAAAATAAGTACAATCCTGGCCTACCTCTATCTGATTTGATGAGTATTTAAAAATCACACAATGCTCTCATTTAAAGCTGTGATGGTCCCAAAATAGCCCTGTGGGCAATAGTATGAAATGATTTTTGTGGAGCCACACATATCTTAATTTTCTGAATTTGTCTAACAAAATTCAACAGCTCTCTTCAGTCTGATGAAAAGGTTGTGAATAATTCAATCACTCTTCTACAATTACAAAATACTAATCAGATATCCTGGATTTGTGGTGGTAGTGGTGAAGGCGTTGGCCTAGAAACTAGAAGACCAATCCTATCTTAGGCATGAAAGCCAGATTGGACCAGTTACTCTCTCTCAGTCCACAACCCACCTCACATGGTTGTTGTTGTGGGGAAAATAGGGGTTGGAAGGAGTATTAGTATATTTGCCGCCTTTAATTACTTATAAAGTAATAAATGTAATAAAATCTAGTAAAGAAATACTGTTCTTTAATAATTCCACCTGCCATTGGGAAACTTTTAATGCAAAAACTGCTTACCAGATTTCCTACAGCCAAGACATGCTCAAATTGTGGGGTCATGGGATGATGTTCCATTGCCATGAAAAGAGTATTTAGAACAATACAGATAGTAATGGCTAAATCCACAAAAGGATCCATGACAATCAAGTTGACAATCTCTTTTAACTTCACCCAGTGTGGGTGGCACTCCCAAATGAGGAAGGTGTTAGCAAATCTGTACCAGCAAGGGGGACATTTTCTTTGGGATTCTTCCAGTTCTGTATCATTACAACAAAATGAGGAAGAAGTTAACATGAATGAACACATAGTTTATTCACAAATTCAAATTACTCAAAGAAACTTAATGCCAGAACTGAGTCATTCTTAATTTGTTGGCTCTGCTACCCCTAATTCAGATCTGTAGATTTATTCTTTTTGGATATTGAAAAAAAGCCAAAACATCATGTTAAAAATGGGGCACAAAATACATATGCCTGATAAATAAAAAAAATGTATATAAACTGAGACTTGGATGTCATTTAAACTTTGTAACTTCGTAAGGCCTGCATACTTTTAACGTTCATGTATTTATCATGATGTTTTGCTCTGGTTGATTAAATAACAGAAAAGGAAATAAACTTTGGAAATGTAGTGACCTTATGAACTTGTTGAAATGGATACATTCCTATTACACATACCTTCTACAAGAGTATTTGTTATGACTGTCATTATACTATTGGTTCTATCCTTTCTTCCATATGAAGCATTCAGTTGGTCCATTGACACCAGAAGTGATCCAGTGGCTTTCTTCTTAATCTCTACTTCTGTGGTTGCCTGCAAAATCCATTAATGTTCTTTAAAATGTTTTTCTTTAAATAGGCTTTTGACTGAAAAGAGAGAATTTGTTTTCTACTCCTCTATCAGATCTGGATTATATAGCAGATGTGACTTCCACTGTCAAAATTATCCTCCTGCTTCTTTTCTTGCTGCAGGGAAATCTTTTCCCCTGCAAGAATAAAAGCAATTAATGGGAAAACTTGGTTCATAAAAAATTATCCATGAGGAAAGGTTAAAAAATCTTCCTCTTTAGTTTTAGTCAAATTCAGACTCAGCAGTAACAAAAAAAAATTAGAAGAATTTTTCAAATTGTACATACCTAGCTTAATCCTAAACATCACTAGATCATCATTTAGAGTACAGTTTTGTATCTATGAAATTAAAGAAAATTAAATGGGCATAAACAGAAACATAGAGTGATTGTATTGTTTGTGTTTGTCTACGGTTGATTCTAGTAGCAACTTAATTTCGACTGTTCCTTTCATGTTTCTCTGTAATTAGAGACAAACACAACTATATTATATTACAAATAATTTGATTCACTATAGCTTTAGGACAAACAAATTCATTATCTGTTGCTTATGATCTACATATGTTGCTATTGGGAAGCCACTATTTATCTGGTGAGTAGTCAATATTCCCTAAATGGTTTCGCATATGTAGTGACTGGTTGAACAAAAGCACTGCTTGGGAAATCCCTGTGCAAGGAAAATATCAGGAAACTGGTATGTAACATAGCAATATATCTCATAATGTTTTTCCATGCATCATGCTGTTGTTAGCAACTTATAATTTTTGCATGCTGTTAGAGAAATAAATTCTAGAACAACACAGTATAGTAACATGCTAACTAGGGGAAAGGGTGGGGACTAAACTGAAATTAATTAGGAAAGGCTTCAAACATTCTCAGGGAGAAATGATTTAATTTTGCTTGCAGGAATTAAAGTTGTTTGGGATTTCATTTTTTGTGTTTTGGAAAAAAAGAGCTTGGAGTTCACAGACGAGAAGCAAGACTGAAGTTATGTACCTCATCCAAAGACAAAAGAAAGTTTTCTTAGTGTTTCAAAATAAATCCCCTTCTTTCACTTTTCTAGTCCAAGTTGGGATTCCTGACTCATGTGCCTTTTGTCAGCCTAAATTGCATCTGGATATTAATAACGGTATTTATACCATTGATATAGGGATAATAACCCTATAAATTTGTATTAAAAGTTTATACCATTAAGGTTTACTTTGTGACGGTGATGGATACAGTATATCTGATCTTTTACCTCTCCTTTACTCTTTTTTATTTTTAAACATATATGTCAATAGGTTATAATTTCATGACTGTAGCAGAAACATACATTAAATAAATCTCCTAATATTTTCCCTATTCCACCGTTGTTAATATTAATATGTTTTGAATTCTTATTCTTTCTATTCACGAAGGAATGTGGTTTTTTAAATTAAGAATGAATAAATAATAAATAAGAGGGTTTTTTTTAAAAATGGAGAATTCTGCCATTTTTTCCTCTTTAAACCAGCTATCTTAGGCAAAGCTTTCTTTCTTTTTAATAGCCAACATAATTTTGTGCCCTAGAAAAAACTATATTGATCATCTTTTAGAGGAAATTCTACAGTGTTCCAAATTACAAGAGCTACTATTATGTGGTGGAATGTGCACCTGTGCAGCAGCAGAGGAGGAATATTTTGCAAACTCAGAGAGCTGTCCCAAAAAGTGGCCCAGATTAAGAGACTGCATAGTTCCGAGCTGGAAGGGGGAAGAGGTTCAGGGTAGCCCCACCCTAGAACCTCTCAAGTTATAGCTAGTAGGAGAGAAGGTTATAATTTTAGCTTGGAAAGATTCTGTCCACTAGGTCAGTGATGGCAAACCTTTTAGAGACCGAGTGCCCAAACTGCAACCCAAAACCCATTTATGCATCGTCGGGTGCCTGGTGGGTGTGGCCCATTGGGTGGGCGTGGCTGCAGTGGTAATGGCAGACTGGGTAGGACTAAAAAGTTCAGTCAATCAATTCCCACTTTGCAAGATCTTTTTTTTCCCCGCAAGAAGTTGAAATTGACTGATTGATTGAACCTTTTTTTTTTTGCACACGGCGGCAGAGGCCTAAAGCGAAAAGGTTTTAGGACTGGGGGGACGGTGAAGGCCTGAAGGCCTAGGACTGGGGCGATGGTGCGCGTGCCCACAGAGAGGGCTCTGTGTGCCGCTTCTGGTCCCTGTGCCATAGGTTCGCCACCACTGCACTAGGTGAAAACCAGTAAAGAATTAAACTGGATTGGATCTTACTGGGATTCAGCCTGACATATTATGAGTGAAGAGCAACCTGCAGTCTCTTTATTTTCACTATGAGAAAATCATCTTTTTTTCTCGATAACCTGAAAATTCTGAAATAATGCTGTTATTGATGGATTACAGAGCAGTGAAGGGAAGTTTTATTACATTTTATTTCAACCATCTTGCTTTTTAAAACTATAAACTAAAGTTTCTTGAAAAAGGAAAGAAATAATTTGTGAGAAAAATATTACACAGAATTAATTCTATTTATACATGTGGGATTTAAAAATATCTCCTCTACCTCATTCATACCCAGATCTTTTTCTAGGTAATTTTCAGATAATTTCACATTTTTGATGTAACAAATAGCACATTTATCAGTATTATATTCTTTTTTTTTTTAAAAAAAAAATCTTCCAAGCCATCATTTTCTTAGTGGTCCAAAGGAATAGGAAGAAGAAAATGGGAATAGGTAGAAGGAAAAATAAGAATTAAAAGCAGAATAATTTGGAAAGAGGGTTCAGACGATCATATGTCAAACCAATTTCTAGTCATTCCATCAGGGATCCATTTGGCGGCATACAGGAATGCAGAAAGAAGGGCAGACCGCCATGCCTAGACTGTCTACTCACTGACTTCCTTACATTGTCATCAGTAGCTGCCTTATCTATTTTCACCTCAGGCAGAAGACGCCCGCTGGGGATGTTGGAAGTTGGGCCACCGATCAGGGAGACCACACCATTACAGTCCACAGTGCTATTCCGCTTCACGTTCCGACGAATGCTGGGAAAAATGCGTGATGACCGGCTTCCTTGGCTATAACCACTGTAACCACTGTAGCTGCTTTTCCTGTCATAGCCTCGGATTGGGATGAAGAGTGAATCCCTCCTGCCCTCGCTCTCTTCCACTGTGCTGTGCTCATCATCGGCAAATTCATTCTCTGATCCAGGATCCCGGAACCCTCTCTTGAAGCTGAAAAGGCTGCTTTTACTGTTGTGTCGAGAGAGATATGGGGATCCTGGAATGCTAAGCAGTGACTGAAAGGGAAAACAAAGAAGAAGACAAAATTGGAATTGGGCAACAGAGGCAAGAATCCATAGAGTACCACTACTGAAGGAACTGACATCCTGGATTTAAAAAAAAAAACTGGAAAGGAAATAAATCCTTCATGAAAATACTTCACAAATATACTAGAGGTCTGTCATCAAGCAATTGGGCAATTATTTCAAATCAAATACATAATTTACATTTCACTTCTCTTGTCGTAGCTTGGTAGTCCCATTTACTCCTTGGACTTGGCAGATTACAGGTAGTCCTCAATTTATGATCACAATTGAGCCCAAATTTCTTGTTGTTAAGTGAGAGTTGTCAAGTGAATTTTGCCCAATTTTACAACCTTTCTTGCCACAGTTGTTAAGTGAATAACTGCAGTTGTTAAGTTAGTAAAGTGATTGTTAAGTGAATCTGGCTTCCTCATTGACTTTGCTTGTCAGAAGATCACAAAAGGTAATCACATGACTCCAGGACACTGCAACTGTCATAAATATGAGTCAGTTGGCAAGCAGTTGTCTGAATTTTGATCACATGACCATGGGGATGCTGCAATGGTCATAAGTGTGAAAATGGTCTTTTGTTCAAAGCCACTGTAACTTTGAACAGTCACTAAATGTAAGTCGAGGACTACCTGTAGTAGCCGCGAAGCTTAAGCAAGGTGGTGAAGGAACAGAAGCAAGGCCTTCATTGTATCAAAGACTGCTGCATATACAGAATCAAATTAAAATACTGATTATAAAAGGGGAACATGTTGCACAGCTATCTGAAAAGGTGGATAAAGACTCCAGTCCATCCTTCTTTCACACAGCTCTGGCACAATATAAAGTTTAGATTTGGAAGTTTTGTTTATGGAACTGAGATTTTACCTGGTTCATAATGGAGAGTTTCCGACCAAGTCTGTTGTCCGGCAAGCGGAAGATCTTCCTCCTCATTCCATCTTCTGATTCTGACTTAAACACTTTCTCAAGATCTCCCTTCTCCTCTCCTTCAGAGAGCTCCTTTTGCTTCCGCTTTTTCCTTCTGTTTCGTCTCTCCTTGGCACTCTTAGAGCTGAGCTTGGAGAATTCGGAAGAGGTGTGGGACATCCTTCCCCCACCATCTTCTTCTACACCATCTTCAGACACGGTCCCTGCTGAGGTAGCCATAGCTGCAGCCTTCGGAAAAAGAGAAATGTGAAGATTTTAAAATATATATCTGTTTCACTTTGAGAGTGGGCAACTAAATTTCATTTTTGATGTGTGCCGTTGTGCCCACAGTAAAAAAATGATAATAAAGGTTATCTTATCTTATCTTATCTTATCTTATCTTATCTTATCTTATCTTATCTTATCTTATCATCTATATGAATTTCTAAAGGTCAGGAAAGTGATCAACTAACACAGGATCAAGCAAGGAGTAGCATTCAGGAGAATGAATCTGTTGGTAGATACATGGTATATTCAGCAGATCAGCAAAAATCATGTCTCTTTCCAGTTTTTTAACCATAGTAATACAACACCCAAATAATGCTCCTATCACCATACATTATAATGCTGACATTAAAACAATGAGGTCACCAGGCATGGAGTATGTGTGAAAAAGAGGGGAAAAAAAGAGAATTTTTTTTCCCTGCAAGGTAGAAGCCACCCTCCATATTTTTTTCTCAGGGATAGGCCTACCCAGTCTAGCCACAAGGAGGCCATTTGAGATAATCTCACAGCTGACAAAGTTCACAGTGATTTACCTAATGTAAATAGGCCTATCTGAACTTGGGAGAAAACACTTTCCAGTCTTCAGACTTTGAGTGTGTCCACATATAATACTAACTTCTATATAGGACACATCACAGATTATTTAGTTGACGGCAATTTTACATCACCTCCCCTTCTAACTAATATGCCAACCAACTATGTGATCTGTGGATAACCATTCCTTCACAACAAGAATACAGGAGTATGGTGGCTTGATAAGAGTCAGGCTTTTCAGATAAAGTCTAGATCTTCTATAAGCACTGTAGTATTGGCCCAGCCCAAAGTTGGATGGTTTGTTTCATTGGTGTGAGTTAGCTAATAATCACACAAATGTGAGTGGGAACATATTCAAACTTTATTTCTATTCTGTGGAGCTCACACCTGGGACCAGAGCAGTAATGGCAAACTTTGGGTTCTGTGTATCAAAAATTTAGAAAACCCCTAACTTGATTCCGCTGGCCTGTCGCACACAAACACAAGGGGAAAATATATATTCATTTATTTTAAACCATACAGTCCAGTCATGCGTGCTAATGTATAAAAAAATGTCAAATAATTACAAAAATAAAACACGAGTAAACAAATTCCTTTCTAAAGAGTCTGGAGGCTGCACAAAAAGTACACCTTATTCTTTTTAAGAATAGTTGTTGTCGGATGTTGACGAACACTGCTATGTCACTCAAAATGTTAAGGTATGTCGCCTTTGACACATGTGTCATAGATTTGCCATCGTTGGACTAGAGCAGTGTTTCTCAACCTTGACAATTTTAAGGCATGTGGAATTCTGGGAGTTGAAGTCCACATGCCTTAAAATTGTCAAGGTTGAGAAACACTGGACTAGAGTGACAAAGCAAATGACCCCTACATACCCTCACAACAGGTGTATATGCCTTACAGATTACATCAGTGGTTTTGATTGGTTGAAGACATTTACCTCATAATGTATCTTAACTTTTGGTGGGCTCTTCTGTGTCTCTGGGCAGATTTCCTAAAATCCTCGTGGAGGTGCCTAGTAACTATTCTAACTTTTCCCTAGGAATTTCCAGCAGTTCTTTAGTGTGGTGTCATCAGTAGGATGGAGCTTGTGAAAAGCAGAGCAATAGCTATGTTACCACAGAAATTGTCTACTTTTGCAGGCCATAATTCAAATGGCGGTTAAGACTTTTTGTCTTAATTTCAGTTACAGACACAGTCTAGGTTCAGGCCATATTCCTAACCAAATTTTGCACAGCATGTCATGTGAACAACATCACTGTGTTTTATCAGAGTCCGACTATGAACTGAATACTCTTCAACTTCCAATTCTGCATTGGTAAGGATAATGCTTCAGCATCATTTTTCTGTATTATTAGGATTACAGGTAGTCCTCAACTTACAACAGTTTGTTTAGTGACTGTTCAAAGTAACAACAGCACTGAAAAAAGTGATTTATGACCATTTTTCACACTTATGACTGTTGCAGCATCCATATGGTCACATGATAAACATTCAGATGTTTGGCAACTGACTCGTATTTATAACGGTCGTAGTGTCCCAGAGTCATGTGATCACCTTTTGTGACTTTCTGACAAGCAAAGTCAATGGGAAAGCCAGATTCACTTAACAACCGTGTTACTAACTTAACAACTGCAGTTGGCAAGAAAGATTGTAAAATGGAGCAAAACTCACTTAACAAATGTCTCAATTAGCAACAGAAATTTTGGGCTCAGTCATGGTCATAAGCTGAGGACTACCTGTTGAGGAAACTTTCTGTATTAATGGGATTAGGGGCAAGAAATAACAAGTAACATCATTATGAAATAATGGGTGGAATTAAATGGTTCAGAATATTTGCATAGGTTTTAGATGGAAGCAAAATTTTGGTATTCATAGTTAACACCATTTTTTATATAATGGGGTAAAAGAAAGAAAGAAACAAACCTGGGCTTCCTCCTGTTGTTTTTTCAGTTGTTCCAACATGGCCTTGAATTCTGCTTCCTTCTGCTCTGCCTCTTCCAATGTAGCCTGGTTTTGTTCTTCATAGGCCATAGCCACTACAGCCAAAATCAAGTTCACCAGGTAGAATGACCCAACAAAAATAACGAGGACAAAAAAGATCATGTAGGTTTTTCCTGCTGCTCGCAATGTCTGTAAAGAAGGGAGAGCAATTGTAAGTAAAAAAGAATTTATAGTGCACTGCTTCTTCCTCATTGCATAGATATCCCTAGTATTCCTGGTACATGGAATTAATGTTTTGCTTTGTCTACAAGTGACTTATAAGATGTTGCATTTCAGTTTTACATATATCCTGCTTCTCCTCTAATGCATTCTGCTGCCCTGCCTCCATAAGTTTTATTTCTCACCGACCTTTCTGTTGGAAAAACCATTCATGATCTCTACCCACCAGAACTGATAATCTTTTCAAGAATGAAGCAGTCATACTGTATATGACTCTATACCTCTCTCTACCAGAGCTGAAGTTTTGCAGCAGCTAGTTCAAGTCACCATCATCACATCGATCTAATACGAACATTATTTTGTTGCCAATAACAGCAAGTGTCCTCTTCACTAACACCTGGCTAATACCATTTAATGTTAATATTTCCAACATTAGAAGTTCCTTTTGTCAAGCATCCATAAGCATTACATACAATTGCTTTACATTCTTCAAATTGTAAGTGATACATAGGGCAGCGCAGGGCAGGGCAAAGCAGGGCAGAGGTGTATAAAACTTAAAACCCTGATTGTGAACCAAGGAGCTCTTCTTGCTGGAAAAATGGCCAGTTTCTTGCGATTTTGAGAGAAGAATCTCTGAACTTAAACTGCAAGCCTTGGATTTATATCTAGCCAAATCCCAAAACAGGGCCAAGAAAAATTCTGAAACTTCCCTCCTGCAATAGAGAAAAAACAGTTCTGGCTCCCACCTTCTTTACATTGTAAATCTAACTTTTGCAGACTCTGGACACTCAGTTCTAGCCATTAAATCATTGCCCATCCCCTGTTTTAAGGCAAGAAATCATGGATAGACATACTTACTAACTGATACAAGTTTTCCCAAAAGTCCTGAGTCATGAGGCGAAATAAGGCCAGGAAGGCCCAACTAAAAGTATCAAAACTGGTATAGCCATAGTTTGGATTCCTCCCTGCTTTCATACACGTGAATCCCTCTGGGCATTGGCTGCAGACAAGATGGAAGGAGATGTTTCAGATTTGGGAGAGTAGAAAATATCCAGTTCCAAAGGCAAAGAGTAACCATAGTCATTTTCACAGTTTCTCTTTTGACTATCAGTTTTGTGCTAAACTGATTGATATTACCAAATATCATTGGTAATATCAACATTATTTTTACTGACTCAACATTATTAGAATGATTTTTTTCATCTAGGACAACCTCTCCCACTTGGGTTGTTTTTAATAAGTCCCAGATGTTGGGGTTCAACCCAACTGCAATTAATCAAATAAGAAAAGATAGTATATCTTGTATAGGCGAATATGCAAAAGTCATATTGTAGGGAACCACAGAGATGACCTTGGGGAAATTATTCATAGAAGATTATAGTGGCATGTCCAAATTGGAAACAGGGAAAATATTAAGAGACTCATTTCTCCTGACTTCCTGGAGCAGGCATGTCAGACTCACGATGTCACGTGATGTATCGTGACATTTTCCCCATTGCTGGCAATGGGATAGGTGCGGTTTCGGCGTGATGTATCTGACCCATGGGCCAGCAGTTTGACATGCCTGCCCTGAAGTATAAGAGCAAATGAAGGGAAAACGCAACCAGACTTACAACAGGGAGCCACTTTGGCCTAATGATTAAGACACCAGGTTAGAAACTAGGAGACTGAATTCTAGCCCTGCCTTAGGGATGGAAATAATCTGGGTGATTTGGACCATTCACATTCTCTCACCTCACAGGATTGTTGTTGCGGGGAAAATAGGAGGAGGAAGGAATATTAAGTATACTTGCTGCCTTGAGTTTTGTATAAAAATAATAAAGGTGGGATTAAAAAAATCTACAATAAATTCTGTTTATTTTAGCCTAACGCAAAAAACTATAGCTTTAATAATCTTGTGAATTCTGATCTGGTCAACGTCAAAAGGCTGACACGTACAGTATATACTCATTGGTCATGACAATCTTAATTCCTTCTGTACCAAGCCAATATGCCACCTCAGAGAAACAAGTAAATGCAACTTTAGAACAAAAAACAAAATATAATACCAATTGGACGGTGCTCATCTCTGCATCAATATTTCACAAATATTCAAGAAAGAGCTAATTTGCAAAGCACCCCATTTAAGCAAAGTCTGGCAATTGGGAAGATTGCAACATAAGATGACAGTGTAATTACCAACAGTTATAGTACTCCATTTCTTTTGACTTGAGGCAATGAGTAATTAAGATTGAGTGAGCTTCCTATTCACATATGAGGTCACAAATAAATGTAGGTGAAGAGAACAAGTGCAATTCCAATCCCAATCCTCTACTTTAGCAAGGTGGAGTTCATGCCTTACAAAGCTAATGGTGACAGATAGCAATAGCCATAGCACATAGACTTATATACCACTTCACAGTGCTTTACAGCCCTCTCTAAGCGGTTTACAGAGTCAGCGTATCATCCCCAACAATCGGGTCCTCATTTTACCGACCTGGGAAGGATGGAAGGCTGAGTCAACCTTGACTCAGTAAGACTGCATTCTAACCACTGTGCCACCACGGGTCTCAGATAGTTTATTATTAATAAGCTTCCTATTAAAAAAGAGGTTATTTTTTCAAACAGCCTAAGGTCTCTTAGCACTGGGTAGACAGATTGCTTTATAAATAAATCCATGTAAGTCTATATATGGATTAATCTATGTATGCTGACTTTTATTTTCCCATTAGTGAAGAAAGACTGGCTATGGGGAAGAGCAAATAAAGCTCAATTGAGCTGAAAACTTACCCAGCATCAGAACTATTACCACATAACAATGGATCAAGAAACCCAGGTATTGTGTAAAAATTTGCTGGAGGAGATAAAGAAAAGCACATAAGAATAAGCATATTGAGGAAGAACACAGACATTTAGACCAAGTATACTTTTGATCTAAAGCTTCTTTAATTGGAATATTAGAAAGGATGCTACCTGATGCTTGTACTGTTATCTTTTAGCACCTGGCAAAGATCATTTTTTTTCTTGTACATTTTAGGAATTAAACCCTAGAGATTAGATACAATCCGCAAATTTAATTGGATGGAACTGGAGAATGGAGGGACAGAATCCTCCGAGCATTGCTTGCAGTTGGCTGTATATTTTATCCTTGATTTTTCTTAGCATTTTATTTTCACATAATTTCCCTGGAAAACATTTACTATTAAAAGGATTTAAATCACACCAAATAAATTTTAAAAAGTGCTAGCTTTTCAGATACCACAGTGTCAAGAATTATTTGGAGTCTATGCCATTTCATAAAGCAAGTGTGATTAGGAAGGGCACATGTCCACGATCATCTATGGCTGGCTGAATTATCCCGTTACCACCCTGTAAATACAAAGCACTATTCTGACAGGAGATTTGTAATTTTATTTTCTAATGCCAGTTAAAATGTGTTCTGCCATTTTTTAAACCAGTCTAGAAATCCCAAGTATAAAGCCATTCCCAAAATCATTTATAAAGGCATTATTTGGTTTAAATCATTTTTAATAAACACATACACTTTGCCAAACCAAGGGAACAATGATTATAAAAGTAATACCCATAGTCAGTATGTTTAAAGGGATTAAGACTAATGGAACATCAAAGGAATTTTAACAATGGTAAGAAGACAATATGCAAATATAGCTTGTTAAGGAAAAGATATGCAAGTAGAGATCAAGATGTGTACTTGCCATTCAAAGTACAGTAATTGTTGGCCTTAATCAAAGTGTGCATGGGGTAGTCCAGTAAATATTACAGTTAATAAAGACAGAGAAAATGATGGCAGCAAAAGGTTGCACCTACACACATTGTTGATGTATTCTTCCCAATTAAATCCCTTGGTGCCATTTTCTAGGTAGGTCTCATTGAGATCGATGGGCCAGACGACACATTTGTTTCTTAGATTCCCCATGAACAGCTGTAGCCCAATTAAAGCAAATACACTGAGGCAAAACACAGTCAAAATCATCACATCAGAGAGTTTCTTCACAGACTGGACCAGGGCTCCCACAATAGTCTTCAGACCTGAAAATAGGAAACAAACCAGTAATGATATTTATGTGGAAACATAGACCTAAGCACAAAACAACCTTATAGGATGCTCGGATTAGAAGTAAAGACAAACAGAATGATCTGTAAGGACTGGCAAGATAAAAAGCAATCAATAAAAACAAATGAATGGCATGGAAAAGAAAACGTAAGTTTGCCTAACTTTTAATAAGTGGTGATGGATATACCTATCAGCACAATGGAATAATACACCAAAATTTCCTGATTCTTTGGAAAGTTGTTTTATTGTCCAAAGAAATCTATATTAATAGGGAGCAGGATGTTAAACAGGGAAGATGGATGGATTTATTAGAAGCTGCTACCAGATAAAAGATTCCCATCTTAATAAGTTGGTCAGATCAATGGTTAAAAAGGAAGCTAGGAAAGGAAGTTTCCCCCACCAAAAGGATTTCTCTGGATAATAAAGCAGCATTGCCAGGAGTGAGAACTTTCTTACACAGTACGGTATTCAATTGTGCTGGTATGTACTTCCCCAGTCATTCACAGAAAATTATATGAATATCACCTTCACTTTCTTTTTTTCCAAGAAATCAGTGTCATGAATGCCAAGCATAGTGTTAATTTGCTTAAACAATGAAAAATAAGGGTGAAAGAAGTTAACAAAGCATTCAGAGCTTACCTGCCCCCCCAATCAATTTTCAGATGTCATAGTCTTTTACTCGTAAGCATGTATTCAGGATTCCAAATGAGGCAAATTTCATCTCATTTTGAACTGAGATACTGTGTAATGGCTCAGAGAGCAAATTTTGGACAGATAAATAAGAACTGAAAATACCCTGCGTAAGAAGCCATCCTTTCACATTTATCTTTCTTAAACTATATGCAGAAGTTAAAGTCTCTGCATATAAACAGAAGCTAGTTATGTTATTTAGGAGAATTTGGCTTAAAAGCTCTTGGAGGAGTTTTTATTAGAACCACTATGAAGAAAGAAAGATTTCCAAAAAAAAAAAAAAAGCCTTTGTTATCCTTTAATCACAGCAAATCAATGAATCAAAAAGACTTTTGATACAGCTGATGCTCTTTTGGAAACCAGATCTTAAGTTGAGGCGGGGGTGGGGAGGTGGGGTTGGAAAAGGGTTTTTAGAGTTTTAAGCATCTACAGTACAAGGCTTCAGGCATACATGCTCCTTACCCACTCAACCCCACTGCACAAAAATAATCTAAGAATAGGCCCAATGTTTGGTTCTAGGGTTGCCTTAAGAATGTACATCAAAAAAAATGATGCTATGCTACACTTTTGGCATGCCCAATGTGATGAAACATCTGATTTTAACTGAATGAACAGCATCATCTTGCAGAATGACAAAATTAATTGAGAGCTTATACAGATTTTTTTTTTGACATGCTCCCAGCTACTGCTCCTCTTTCTGAAAGTTTAAGCAAGATTTGCAAGATACAGGAAAGTATATTGAAAATGTCAGAACAAATAAATTTCACATGCATGGAATAGCTAAGGTGATATATAATTTAAATAGGGAAGAGGCGGAGGGGGGAAAAAAGAAGGGAAAACTAGGGCAGTTAGATAGGTGTGAGATAGATTACAAGAACCTAATCAATTAACAACTGTAATCTGTTAAAAACTGGGAGTAGGTTATATGCTTTATCAGCACTCCTACTGCACTGTATTTTCAATTACTGTCTTGCAATCTTCTGCCCTCCAAATCTGTTGGGTTATAACAGATAACCTACCATATAGATTATTGTGGTTATAGCCATGTGTCTTCCACAAGTGCATATTGCAAAGATGAAGGGGTTGTGCCTGGCTTTGAAGCTTACTGTGCCCTTTAACATGATTACAATATAAGACATGACTATCAAGATCTCTACCTGTAAACATATTCAGGAGAAATGATGATCTCACAGTAACAACCATATACTCAAGCACTGCTTGGGGTACTCCAGAACTGCATTTGTGGACCAGCACACTGCTATGCACTTTCTGGATTATTTGGTAATAGTTTTAGACACATTTATTTTTAAAAGGCTGCACCGATTTTTGCATTTCTATATTTAATAATGGATAATTTACTTGACTAAGTAAATCAGGCATGTTACTACTAAATTTATTGTCCAAAATGCACTTTTTTTGCATTTTTAGTTGTGTTTTTATGTTTTTATATTTGGTGAGGATAGGATTTAAAAGCAAATCACCCATCTTGAGGGTTTATTAAGGTTCTTTGACAATTCCAAGTGTTCCAGGATGAATTCAGATTCTCTCTCTCTCTCTCTCTCTCTGTGTGTGTGTGTGTATGTGTGTTTGAGTGTTCACGCACATGCTTGTACATGTATCTATGCAGGCACAAACAGGGAGGCTAGCACGGAGCTGGTTTCTGCAGCTGTTTGTGCATGTTCCGCTAGCCCAGGTGGTTTGTGTGGCCTGTTTGCGCATGCACATGGGACCAGCACATGCAGCATGCACGAACGGGGCTGCTAGTGCTGCGCCAGTGTGCATGGCCCTGTGCGCGCGCACACGCACACCAATTTTGAAGCTGTTCTCCTTCCTTCTGGTCCACGAGCCTGGAAAGGTTGGAGACCTCTGCTATAAGCCATGTCTTTTAATTTATTTGATTTAATTTATTTGCACATTTAATTCATATACACATTTATTTTAATTTATGGACATTAACATTTATTCTAACTTATAATTTACTATGCATGAATTATGCACAGTAATGAGCCTAATTTATTAACTTCTCACTTTATTTCAAGCATTTTTGGACATGTTTATTATTCCCAGTTCTTCATTTCATTCATTTCCTGAGTCAAAGTCTATTTTCACAATTTCCCTCAGCTGTAATTGATATTAATATTTCCAGACTGTTGCTTTCAACAATTCCCAAAGCTCTCCACTTTAGAAGGATTTGGGAGGGTGCTGCTCATTCTGATGTATTCTGTTTTAAGCTTGTAATTACTTTTTTTGCAAGTGTTCCTTTGATAAGTAACAACAAACAACCCTTCCAGAGCCCAATGCTGCTTTGACATAGGGAGCTGCATTCTGCATGCATTCCTTTCATAACTGTTGAGACCAACAGTATCCCACTATGCCTGTTGTTGGAATTTTTAAAATCACATATTCCTTATTATATCTTGTTTGGGCTACAGTGACAAACCCAAAGTAAATGTAAGGGATGCCTTTGAAACTGCAGCTGCAAGCATATGGACTACTGCCACTTTTTTTTACATTTGTTGGGAAGGCAATCATTTGTACTCACCGTTTTGCTTTTCTTAAGTTAGTTTTGTTCCAGTAGATGTTCTTCTCCCTGCTTTACTGATGCAATTTTAATTATTGTGCTTTTACTATGCACCTTTATAATTTAATTAAAATATGTATTTTACACATATTTACACCGTTACCTGCTTTGGGAACTTTATTTTCACTAGGAAAATTGGAGTAGATAATTTTAACAAAATGAATAACGAATAGCCATATGTGACTGCACCATCATTCGTGAAATGGATCTAAGAACTTAATTGCAAAAATGGCTTTACTATTACGAATATATATGTGAGATAAGATGCAGTGGAGCCATTTAAATGTTGTAGTATCAGACTAGAAACCCAGAAACTGTGAGTTTTAGCACCTTCTTCATCACAAAGCCAGCTGGACAGTGGTGGGATTCAGCCGGTTTGCACCACTTCGGCAGACCCGGTAGCTAATTTTTTGTTGCCCAGGCCCAGAATGGACTTCTGGAAGCAGCATCCACATAGAGAACAGTTGTTCACATATTTGAATCCCACCACTGCAGCTGGGTGACTTCAGGCCTGTCACTTGTGCAAGCAAGACAGGGATAAGCAATTCACTTATCCCTCTCTTGAGTTATCCTGTGTTGAATTATCCCATGGCCCATTTCAGCCCCCAGAAAGCAGGCACTTCCAAAATCTTGCCAAGAAAACTGCAGGGACTTGTCCAGGCAGTCACCAGCAGTCAAAAACTGACTTGTGACTTGAAGGCACAATTTTAAAAAAATTGCAGGGGAGAACTCTCTCTTGTGCTTCCTTTCTCAGAGATGTTTCTCCAGATACTGTATCAGATATCAGTTTCTCCAGCTGTGATAACATTATATTTCCTGCTATTTGCTTGAAGTTAATCAACTGCATAATGGGTAAAAGTGGGTGGGGTGAAGTAAGCTTAGTACATTGGCCACTGATTTTGAACCTTGGGCTTGTGTCAAAACTTCAGAAAATACCTAGTTGGTCTCTACTGGTGTATCACCACTTCCACTGAACAAAAGAGAAGCAATTCTCTATCTCCCCCTTATCTAGCCCTTGCCCCTAAACACGGCTGCGGCCACACAAAGTTTGGGCCTGAAGTAGAGACTTCAGCATCAGGCCTAGCACTACCACCATCATCAAAAAGGCCAAACACCACTTATCTTCAGGAGGTGTTCTCTCGACAGACCTCTACCCAGGGATGCTGTGGGTAACACGAGGCCTTCATTTTTGAAGTGGCTTTGGAGAAAGTTCTTTCACAACCTCTGCAGCTTTTGAAAATTGCACAAAAGTACACTCCATTGTCATGTGATTTTTTTGGAGGTTCTGGATGTCCCATGAGAGCATGGCTCTTGCATGGAACTTCTGGTGGGTCCAGAGACCGCACAAGAGCACGCCCCACTTTCATGCAGTCTCCGCAGCCTCCAAAAATTGCATGAAAAAAGTCCATACTGCTGAGAATTGTGATCAGGTGTTGATGAATGCTAATGTATCACCCAAAACATCATAGTGTGTCACTTTTGACACATAAGTCATAGGTTTGCCATCAATGAGCTTGGCCAGTGGTGGCGAACCTATGGCACACGTGCCAGAGGTGGCATTCGGAGCTCTTTCTGTGGGCACACCCATCATGTCACAACTTTCTCATGGCCCCCTCCTCACCAGCAGCCCCCCCAGAGGAGAGTCGCCCCCAGGCATGGCCTGTACGGAGCAGCGCAGCCAAGCACATGGAAGCAGGGACAAGACTCCAACCTCGTGCCCCGTCGCGCGTAGATAATGCTGTGAGGTGTGGGCAGAGGGCATGGCCGCCATGATGCTGCTGGGCCGCCTGGGCGATCTGCTACGGTGGGCCGTGTAGATGGGTGGTCCTGCAGGCAGGTGGGTGGGAGCATAGCGGGGCAGGGCGGGGGGATAGAACAGGGGCAGGAACAGAGTGGGCAGAGATGCAGGGCGATTTTTGGGCACTCGGTCTCTAAAAGGTTCGTCATCACTGAGCTAGGCAATGTTTCAATTATTCTGCTACCCATCAGATCATTTAAAAAGATGGGCAGGCAAAATAGAATATGTGGCTCAATTTTAAGTGACAAGCGTAAGAGATACTTACTTATTTGGGCTCACATTTCATTTTCAATCATTTATGATTTTGAATAGCAATACACAGTCTCCGCATTAGATCTAAAATCTGAAATTATAAGCTCATTCAAATCGACAGCCTATGTATTGTATCACTGCCTTCCTTGAGGATTGCTTCACCCATTAGAGGTGAAGGCATCCTAAGAAAATGTCTTGTTTATCATGAATAAAGTTGTGACATGATGGGTTTTAATACCTAATGGAAATTTTAATTAAGAAGCCAATTTATGTATTTATGGAGTAATAAATACTCATGCCAAAGTTTCACTGTATATGTATATGTATATGTAATAATAATAATAAAGTTGGAAGGGACCTTGGAGGTCATTGAGTCCAACCCCCTGCTCAGGCAGGAAACCCTATACCAATTTGGACAAATGACTATCCAGTCTCTTCTTAAAAACTTCCAGTGTTGGAGCATTCACCGCTTTTGGAGGCAGGTTGTTTCATTGGTTAATTGTTCTAACTGTCAAGAAGTTTCTCCTTAGTTCCAGGTTGCTTCTCTCCTTGATTAGTTTCTACCCGTTGCTTCTTGTCCTGCCTTCAGGCGCTTTGGAGAACAGCTTGACTCCCTCTTCTTTGTGGCAGCCCCTGAGATATTGGAACACTGCTATCATGTCCCCCCTCATCCTTCTCTTCATTAAACTAGACATTCCAATTCCATCAACCTTTCCTTATATGTTTTAGCCTCCAGTATATGTATATGTATATGTATATGTATATGTTTATGTATATGTCACGGCCCTGTTGGAGCCCAAGTGTGAGAAGGAGGAGATGGAGCAGGGGCTGGTGCAGGGGAATGGAGCAGTCTCTATGGCTCAGGAGGAATGACCTGAAAATGAGGACGAAGCAGTCCTTGGTCCATTGGGCCTTGGAAGAGTAGGCAGGGAGGAAGAGAGGGCTCAGGCTGAGCAAGGAAGGGGGGAGGAGACAGAAAGGGCAGGCAGCAGAGCAGAGGAACTCAGGAACTCTGGAGACAAGCAAAAGCCTCCCCTGCCCGATCCCTGAGTGTGAAGATTGGAAAGAAGGCAGAGTCAGTGAAGGGCGATGTGACTACTTGGGAGGAAGGCGCCTCTCCCCTCCCCACACGTTCACCTGGGAAATAATATTTAAGGAGACACCATGTTTGTTTTAGGATTACACTCCCTCAGCTTTGCCTGCTTTTGCCTTGCTTTAAGAACTGCTTTTGCCCTGTGTATCAAAGACTGCTTTTGCCTTGCTGTGAGGACTGCTCGTGGCTTGCTTTAGCCCTGAAGATTCTCCCTTCAGACCTGCCTCGCCTTGGACCCCTTCTTGTTTTGAGAAATGCTCTTTGCCTTTTGGTTTGAACTGTGCCCTTGTTTGTGAACTGCATTTGTCTTTTGTTTCACTGGGCCCCTTTCGGAAAACTGCTCCTTGTCGTGGACCTTTGCCTCGCTCTGAGAACTGCCCTGGCTTTCTGTCCGGACTTTTGCCTTGTGGACTTGCTAAGTAATTAAGGGCTGTTGTTTGGGGGACTGAGGGTGGAGCCTGACTGGTCAGTGGAGGGTCATTCGTTAACCCTTTCCAGGAGCAATAAAGAACTCTCTGGAGGCCTGCCCAGTGTGGCGTATCAGGGTGATAACGGTATATTTATATATGTATATGTATGGGCTGTTGGTTTGATGTCCGGGCTTGGTAATTAGGCTGCAAACATTTCATCTCCGTTCGGGGGGACATCTTCAATGCGAAATACCAGACGCAACATTCGAAACAAACCAAACACAATTCAAACCGTACTGAAGATGTTCCCCCGAACTAGACAAAACATTTGCAGCCTAATTACCCAGCCCAGAGATCAAACAAATAGCCTGAACTACTAATATTCAAACACATCTCATGTGTGTGTGTGTGTGTGTCTGTGTGTGTGTATATGTTTGTGTGTGTGTTCATTTATTTGCTCATTTATATTATTTGCTTTTAACCTACCCTACTACATTGTCATTGCATTTTATTTGTCTTATCTTTGAATTAACCTTGTGAACTCTCAAGCTTCCTCCTTCCATTATATATTCAAGATGGACAGTATTTAATATTTATTTGTTATGTATAGGTAGGGGTGTGGGTCTATACATATGTTGTATATAGTATGTTTAGGTGTGTATCATGTATGTGTTTCACTTTGAGAGCGGGCAACTAAATTTCATTTTTGATGTGTGCCATTGTGCCCACAGTAAAAAAATGACAATAAAGGTTATCTTATGTTATCTTTTATGTTATCTTATGTTATCTTTTATGTTATCTTATGTTATCTTACGTTACCTTATGTTACCTTACCTAATTGTAATAAAAAGATAATAGGAAAGCATAACTGTTAAGATGAATGCGTCCAAACCCTTGAAACTATAAAGTTATTCTATTAGTGGAATTATAATCCTTTGTTTTGCAGCAGTGCTTTGAGTGGATTGGTTGAGGATCAATCATACTATATTTTATGCTCATGCAAACCACAAGGCCTATCAGAAATGTGCCACAGCCATTTTTGAAATGTGACAAGGAAGGCAAAGGGAAGCGAAGGCAAGTGTAAGACACGGTCATTCTTAGAGCATTTCTCACCTGGAATGACAGAGATAGTTTTCAAAGCTCGGAGAACTCTGAAAGTTCTCAAGGCTGACACATTCCCAAGGTCCACAAACTCTGTGACATATCTGCAATGAGGGAGGTCACACACAAAAAAAGACACAGTGACAATAACACACACCAAAAGGGGAACGAGGAATAAAACAACAACTACAAACAGCGGTACATCACTCACAGGGAGCTGCAACCCAACACCTAACACCAAACTGCCTTACCTGGAATTACAGAAATAGTTTTCAAAGCTCTCAGTACCCTGAAGGTGCGCAGAGCTGAAACATTGCCTAGGTTTACAAACTCTGTTATATACCTGCAGAATTAAACCAGAGTTAATGGCACCATTGGGGTCACCTGCCTTGAAAAGAAGAGCGTAATCTTCAGTTGCAGAGAAACAACTTTCAAATGTAAAATGCTTTGAAGTGTTTAAAAAAAAGAGAGGAAACAAAGATGTAAATAAGACAATTTTCAGTGTTTCAGTTATCACAGGTCAGCTAATTTAATAAGGATAATTTGACAAGGACATCTCTAATATGGGCTCAAATATGAACAGCTGACTATCTTCATCAGCTGTAAGAATCTGGCTGTGGGGAGAAATAGAAGATAGAAAAAGAGGTGATCTAGCATCACAAAAATAATGAGGGAAACTAACCAGGATAATAGCAATTAGAACATGAATTAAAAAAAAAAACCCACCCATTTTCAATGAGCAGTGTGGAAAAAACAAAGTTCTAAACAGATTAGGGTGAGCACAATGTAACGAACATTGCTTCCAACTCTAGAGAAAATTGAGGTGAGGTAAGGACCAATTATCCAGGACACGTGGACCCCAAAAGCAGCCATAGTCATCTGTTGTATAAAAAAAATGACGAAGTATCTAACTATTTCTTTTTGTGGGATAAAAGAAATGGCATAAAAATGCGTTAGTCTTTCAGATGATATGAGGTTATTATTATTATTTATTTGAAATCATATGGTTGTCCTTTATTTCTTGAAAGAGAACTGTAATGCAATAGATCAGCTTTACTAACAGCCTGTTCCTGTAACAACACTTGCTCAGCACACCAGCAATATGTGCCATATAGAAACTGAAGTACAATGTAATAGTCTGCAAAGTTCTTGTTTGGTTGTGCTGGCCCTCTCATTATAGAGGGTGGGGGTTACAGGCAAATTTTGGAATACGTTAAGTGGCTAAGGGATGTCAGCTGCAGACATGACATTTCTCTGATTCAGGGTTTTTTTTTAGGTCATCTTTCTAAAGTGGGAAAAGTGCCACTGTGGCATTCCATAGGAGTTATGATTTACCTTCTCTGACTGCTTTTCTCCATTCTCTTTCCTCACCTACGAGCATCACCTCAGCTCCACAGGAAAAAAGTAACAAGACTGTCTCATGTTTTAAAGTCAAAGTCACCGTATACAGCTGCGAGGGCTAGGCTGATATTTGCTATCTCAGACTCCTCCTCCCCTGGTCCAAGAATTGGTAGAAAATTTAAGAGATGCCTGAATCTGAGCATTAGAACAGTTGACTATATAGGAGTCCTTGCTTAGTGACTGTCTCATTTAATTCACAGTTACAGCAGTGGTGGAAAAAGTAACTTTGTGTCCTATCCTCCCATTTACAACCTACCCAGATCTGTAACACAAAGGAAAGCCGAAATCAGATAGGCACTGTTGTGATTTCATTTAGCAACCATTTCACTTCACTACTGAGTTGCCAGTCCCAATTGTGGTTGCTAAACTAGGTGTATCTGTATACATCTGAGAAAATATTGGACTTTAAAGGGACATCACAAATTCCTGTACTGTGGGGAACGGGGGAGTGCCACTGAACCAAGGAGACTTATTTCTGATCAACCCTATAGTGGATTTTACTGTACAAGCTAAAATTAAGGCATCTATTCTTAAACATGATGTAAAGCATTAATTTCAGAAAAACCACAAATTAGTAGATTTAAAAAAAAAAAACATTTCCACTACTGGCTAAATACTGGGGTTCTCTAACATTAAAAAAGACTTTTACTTTAAAAAAATCCTGAAAGTTTGAATTTTCTCTTTGTGAATGCTGTATATACTTCAGTTAGAGTTAGTTCACCTAACCAAAAGTTAGCAATCTCATGGTCTGCATATATTTTGGAGTACAACTCCCACACAAACCTGCTTAAGTATCGAAGATTATTGGAGTTGCTGACCAGAATATCTGGACAACATAGATTTTGATTCCTCATTTAATTAAGAGATACCCATATACAGTAAGTTGATCAAAATGAATCAACTAAATTATATTTATACATTATATAACATTTTAGCTATAACAGAATTCTTTCCTTTTTGCTTACTTCTTATATACTACAAAATTATATATATTCACTTATAGTTATATATGACTTCTGACAAGAATAACCCTAATTGTGGCACTTACGCCATCATGATGACACTGAAGTCTAGCCAGTTCCATGCGTCACGAAGAAAAGTGAAACTATCTATGCAGAAGCCTCTTGCAATAATTTTCACAAGGGATTCAAATGTGTATATACCAGTGAATGTGTACCTGTTGAAAGTAAAGAATAATGATGAATAGTATTTATAATGAAGGAAGGTGAAATATATTTTACATCTTAAAAGGCAAGATTCTGAATACTTATTGACTTAATGATTTCATAATTCTTTTTCAGATTTCTAGATGGCACTGCAAAATGTTGTTGATTGAAGTGGATATGTTAAGGAACATTTTAACAGAATAGGCTTGCACTAGACTGCTACACAGCTGTCATGTGTTACACAAGCAGTGAAGGGGAGGAGAGAATGTTCTGCTGACTTAACTTAATAAAAGTATATAGATCTGGGCTGGTATAATATTAGGACTGCAATCTTGTTTGCCGCATTCAGGAAGTGATGCTATTTAAAATCTAATTAAAATCTGCAAGAAGTCATGCAAAACTGTATGCATATGTGTGTGTGTGTGTGTGTGTATGTATGTATGTATGTATGTATGTATGTATGTATGTATGTAAATAGTTGTGTGTAAATATATGCACACAAATCACATGCATTGGAATGGCATTAGTACCAACAATAAACTACATTTTTTTTAGAATTCTGACTTTAGGCATCTTGTTGAAAATATTTGTTTGTGCTTTCTGGCAACAGAAATGGGTAAAAAAAATTTAAAAATCCTGGATCGCTTCATCAGTATCTTCTTTAGCATTACAGTGCAACCCAAGATCCTGGTTCCTCTCTCCACCACCTCCAAAAAGTTATAAGTCAAGATTTACAACACTGGCAATCCACCCAGAGATGGGCAGGTATATAGATCAATAAATACAATAAAATATATTTTTGCCTTAAGATTGAGGCTTAAGACAGAAATACATGATATATCCTGTTCATACAAAAGCTAAACAAATCACAGATGGAACCACTCAGGTTGTTTTTTTAGCTGTTCCCACTGTCAGGAAGAATTAAGACAGAGTGATCACACTGCATAATGAACATGGTTGCTCATTCATAATAAATAGAAATTTAAAGAATGTTTTCCTTGTTGATGCATGCAAACATAAGTCATTAATTATTTTGTTTAAACATATATAGGCTACCAATTAACAAGGATAAAGCATGCAAATAATACTATTCAACTTATCTTAATCCCTAGTTAAAAATCCTTTGAGTTTTTAAAGGATTAAAAACAATCCTTTACAGATTTCAAAAATGAATGCATTCCAGTGCATTCCAGACCTCAGAAAATCAGTGAAGAAGGCATTGCTAGGTGGACACAATCTATTACAGTGTTTCTCAACTTTGGCAACTTTAAGATGAATGAACTTCAACGGCCAGAATTCTTCAGCCAGCATACCAGCTGGAGAATTCTGAGAGTTGGAGTCTACACATCTTGAAGTTGCCAAGGTTGATCTAGAACAGTGTTTCTCAACCTTGACAATTTTAAGGCATGTGGACTTCAACTCCCAGAATTCCACAGCCAGCAATGCTGGCTGTGGAATTTTGGGAGTTGAAGTCCACATGCCTTAAAATTGTCAAGGTTGAGAAACACTGATCTAGAAGTTAGCATTCCCTTAGGTCACAGGTCGGCAACCTGCGGCTCCAGAGCCGCATGCAGCTCTTTGAGCCTTCCCCTGTGGCTCCCAGCCTCCTCTGCCATTTGCAGAGAGAGCCAGAGACAGACAGAGGCAATAGCGCTTCCCTAGAGCCGAGGTTGCCTACCCCTGAGCTTGTTGAGAACAGATTGAAGCCAGCTTGCCAGGTGAGCAGCAGATAGGAGAGAGGGAGAGAGGGGGGAGAGAAAGAGAGAGAAAGAGAGAGAGAGAGGGAGGGGGAGAGAGAGACACACAGAGAGAGAGACCCTTTTGACATCTAAAATGAAGATAACACTGCATATATCCTTTTTTATCTTTGTGTGTATGTATACCATAAATGCCGGCATATAAGGCGACTTCTGCAAGTGTTAAAATCGGCACCAAAGACGGGGGTCGTCTTATACGCCGAGTTGTCTTATATGTTGGAAATACTGGTAGTTTCCGGCATATAAGATGACATTCTAGGAATGTGACTTGGTGACAAAGACGGGGGTCGTCTTATATGCCGGGTCGCCTTGTACGCCGGCATATACGGTATATACATACATACACACACACACACACACACACACACACACACACACACACCTATAATAAAAGTAAAAAAGGATATATGCAGTGTTATCTTCATTTTAGATATCAAAAGGGTTTTGCGGCTCCCGGTGTTTTGTTTTCGGTGGGAAACGGGTCCAAGTGGCTCTTTGAGTGTTTTGGGTTGCCTACCCCTGCCTTAGGTAATCCAGGCCTAAGACATTTGAGATAAGGTCTCAGTTTTAATTTATTATCTCTCCTTCAATCAATGAATGCCTGAAGGTAGGCATTTGGAGAGGTTTTGTCATTTCCCAATCAGGTGGTAAAAAAAAATGCATATCAACACCATCATGGATCAGCTTTCCTGGTGATCTTCTATAAAGTGGAAAATCTTTGGAGGGTGGATGCATTGTAAGAACTCCATATCCCCAGCAAACTCCAGGCACCATAATCTAAGATTCAAATAACAATACCTATTATGATCTGCTTGGCACCATTGTTACTGAAAGCCATTTCTGACCCCCAAAAAATAAACAGCCCCATTATCAGATTCTAATCTAGACAAAAAGCCATCAAGCCTATTCATGTCATCTCAACCTATTAATCTTGTTTGAAAGGAGATCTAGTTAATATATTTGTACAAGAGGTATCTGAAGCTGAGCAGTCAAAACCCTCTCAATTATGTTGCCTAACCAAGCAACATTAAAGACTTTCTAAAATTATCCATCCTGGAGAGATTCAATGCAGACTAAAAAAAAAAGTAAATCTAATAATTATCTATTTTAAACAGAAGGCATCCTGTCTTTCTTTTGAGAGACATTTATGACAAGAGTGAGAACATGTTCAATTAATTCCCAGCTTGATATTATAAACCATATTGGGCCAGGAGTTTATATATGGCACATTTTTCCGTCAAAAATTGGCAACTATTACTTTAAAGAATTGTTAGACATTGTAAACAATCAAAGTGAAACAAACAAAAATATTATTACTTACTCCACCTGTTTCGACCATTCTGGTGGGTTACTAAAAGTCATGAACACACAGTTCGTCAAAATAGTGCACATAATGATCATGCTAAATACTGTAAAACAAAGTCAAGGAAGCAGAAAAGATAAGAAATTTCTTACTGACATTAACAAACAAACATCAAGCTGATGGTACATCTCACTTGTTTAAATCTGGGTAGAAAAATCAAACATTTTTCCAAATAATAGTTAGCAAAAATAAAGTGTAGATTTGAAACTTTCCTGATTACAAATATGGCAATAGGTCTAGTTTTGACTTTGGCTTGAGAAGGATTTACACCTTTTTGCAGTTTAGATTATATTGGACCCATCCACATGAGAACAGAGGAGTGCTTTGGGAACCTTCATTGGAATTCAATTCATTTGTACTGCAATTGCATTGAATTATGCTCAGTTTACTGAGGACACATAGGTTTCTCATAATTAGATGCAGAATATGGACATCCAGAAATGACCAATCATAATGGTTTTCAGTCCATGGAGGGCCATAACATTACTTCATTAATTATTTAGGCTCCATTAAATTCCATTAATTCATTTATCAGTTAATTTATCAATTCATTAATTCGTTCATTTATCAAGAACCTCCAACTTTTTTGAAAATGATCCAGTGTAAGCCTTTAGAAAAAACTTGTCATTCCTGTCACTGCTTAGCTATAACTCCAACCATTCCTAGAAATCTCTGCCAATGGGTCCAATATTTTAGCAACATCAGGAGTGCAACTGTTGCCTACCCTGGTTGCATACATACATGTGTATACATACACATTTAGGACATTTCCTTGCTTAAGGAATAAATAAAAAAGAATCCCTTTCACATATGAATGTTAAAAAAGAAGCCTATCTGATCTGGACTACTGCATATGCTACCCAGTGATGGTTTCATATTCATATTTCAAACTGATACCACCTCAAATGAGAAAATGTTCTGGTCTTCTGTTGAGGATTTATTGTAGACTAGATGTCCCTGAAGGAACAGGGATAGCATTGCAGTGGTGATTGGTGGCAGGTTGCTGAATTCTACCTGGTGCAGTCTTTCTGGATAAAGGAGAGATTGTGAGATCACCCACTTGCATTTTGGACAGCTACTCCTCATGAGAAAACTGCAGGAACTGAGGTTTTTATAGTTGGCTTGTAAATTGAGCTGCTGGAAGTCAAGGAGTTGCAACCTAACTCACAACTGTAATGCAGCCTGTATAGACACAAGATTTGACAAACCTCATTTCTTCAACACTTTTAAATGTAATCATTTATAGCTAAACAAAGACTTTCTGAGTAGAAGGATAAGAAATTTCTACTTAGTGAGTCAACCTTTTTTTCTGGATTAAAAAGGGGAAAAAAAGAGTTTCAACCATTTAAAAAACTTTTGGCAAAAAGCTTAACAAGAAGTGGAGGTAAGAAAGTTTCAAACGGATAAAGGGGATAGAAAATGTCCTGAAAAACCCCCCACCACCATTTTCAACACATTATTTAGCATTTAATGTTAAAATGCTCAAACTATAACATATAAAGATCTGGATCTATAAGTAAAAATGATTCCAAACAAATCACTAATAATTTTGCAAACAACCAAAATAATCCTGGTTTTATTTGACCAATTCCTGTTTTGTTTTCCCTCATGCTTTTTAAAAATGCTTTTGCTTTGCACCTTTTTGGGTTGGACAGAGGCTTGGCTGGAACCCAAAACAAATCAGGAAACTCCAAATCATGTGATTATAGAACCACATTTTATTTAGTAGCCTCATTCATGCCTCATGCTAAGCTAGAAACAAATCAATCACATTGTGATTTAGTATAAAGGGTGAAACCTATTCCATGTGCTTTAAATTGAATTGGTTTGGGGTTTCTTATATGGTTGCAAAAGTGAAAATAAGGACAATTGAGCATCCAGGTCTATTTAGGGCAGGGGTGTCAAAACTGCCGGCCTGTGGGCCGGATGCGTCATGGCGAAACTGTGCTCACCCCATTGCCGGCAATGGAAAAAAAAGTCACGACATGACGTTGCGAGTTTGACACCCCTGATTTAGGGCAATTGTATGCTCCTATTAATTTCTCAGGCAGTTGCTGCAGGCAGATGAGAAGATCTAAAAAGAGGTCTGCCAGTTCACTGGGAAGAAAAAGAGGAAGTGATAAAAACTGAATTAGACCCAGAAAAACTATCACAATCAAGGCCCAGTCAGTAAAATAGGCAAAATGAATGACTTTGAATAAATGACATCATATGCATAATCAGACAACATCCCAAATCTTAAGGGTGCATTTCTCTACATACGTAGAAACAGTACAGTTGGAAAAGATGAACTCTAACTAGTCAGCTTTTAGATTTGAGATATATACCTTAATTGCAAGATTGTTGTATGGACTGTTTATGGACTCACACAGAAAGGCAATATCACTCATTTAGAATTAATATGCATCTATCTTTTGAAATTAATAATTTGATTCATTTTATATTTAGATTCCATGTTCCCCATCTCTCTCTCTCTCTCTCTCTCCCTCCCTCCCTCCCTCCCTCCCTCCCTCTCTCTCTCTCTCTCTCTCTTTCCCAGCCTCCCTCTCTAGTTCCTGTGGCATCTGAATATGGAGATATATAGAATGCACTGGGATGTATTTAATCCATGGGCTGAGCAGATACACTGGCTGACATAGAGAACAGGAGAAAACAGTAGCATTTTTATGTTTTCTCTAGTGTGAATTCTGCTTGATTTTATGACCTTTTTTGTCCCAGTCATTAAGTGAATCACAACCATAATTAAGTAAACCTGGGTTCTTCTATTGCTTGTCAGAAATTCTCTGGGAAGGTGGCAAATGGCAATCATGTGACCCCGGGATGCTGCAACTATCATAAACCATGTTGATTGCCAAATGTACAAATTTTGATCAATGACCATGATGACGTTGTGACAGTTGTAAGTATAAGGACCGATGGTAAGTCACCTTTTTCAGTACTCCAAACAGTTGTTAAATGAATGGTCATAAGTCAAAGACTGCCTGTATTCAAATCTATCTTGTACATACATTCTCTAACATCATCCCTAATAAATACACTTTCGTTCACCTACTCTTACAGTTGCTTAGGGAAACTTAATCTCTCCAAGTCCAGGCTATTTCTATAAAATTTGTTTTAAAACACAAATAATGCTTTTTTAAGGCAGCACATCAATCCTGCAAAACAGGAAGTAATGATTTCAGAATAAATGGTATGCATTACAATGAAAAGGATATGAATGTATCAAAATTTTAATAGCTATTCTCCTAAGCAGGTTCGTAGGACTTAAAATGTACAAGGCAGGCGTGGCACTAAATCGGAAGAGTGTTTTGCCTCTGTTTAGTACTACAAAGGTCTGCAGAGAAAGAGAAAAAGAAGGAAAAGTTACACATTCGTACACCTAGGCAGAAAACATAGATATTCAATCCAAAGACCATGAATATACATTTTTTATAAAGAATCTTGTTAACTGGGTGATTCTCTGTATATTCCACAATATACTTTTACTTTAATTGATCTGACAGCTTTTTTAAAATATATATACAGCACACAAAAACAGCAGCAACAGCAACAATAATATTATCCTCAACAGTAGCTTACATCCTTAAAGCAAATGTATACATTAGGCTTCATTTGCCTGAGAATAGGTCCCACTGTGAAATGTGTATAAATGTTATTACAAGATATTTCATAGCCTTTACTCTACAAAAGGAGGAATGAAGTAGCACATGGAGAGTGAAAGAATAGAGTAGATGTAATGGGCTGTGGGAATAACTTTGAGGAAGAAGAGACACAGCCAAGGCAACAGTCAGATAAGAGAAATCTCAATCCAAAGCAGGAATGGAGTTAGACAAAACCTCTCAGATTGGACCCCATCCCACTTCTCTTAAGGATAAAGGGAGGGAGGGGAGAGACACATTCAGGGTTGCAAAGTTATATTACTACAACTCTGTAATAAAAGTAGCTTTGTCATTCATGACTTTGGTGTTAAAGCCTGATCTGTCTCTGAGGGCTGACATTATAGCACTTCAGACTGCAAGACAAGCTGCCATCTTGTTTTGAGAGTTACTCTCTGCACATAAAACTTACATGTTGTACACTATGAAACATTTTTCTTCTATCTGGAGGGGAGATTCCAAGATTGGTCCAAACACTTTCCCTGGGGTTTAATTGGAACAGACTAGAATTCTGCAAATACTGCTCCTGTTTCTTTCTATACTGTGTATAGAATGGCTTTCAAAAACAGGATCACGTTTGTTATTTAACTATTTAAAACATTTCAGTATGTAGCTCAGTGAAAGAGATATGACAGCAACAACAGCAAAGCCCTAGAAAGACAATCAGTCAAGTAACATGGTTTTTCTTAATAAATATAACGAGAACATTTTAGTTTCTTCTCCAGCCAGTGAGTCATATTGCTTTGAATGCGTTTTTACTGAGTTTGTACTCCTCCTCTATTTCTGTAGCATATGGGCTTGTATTAGATGCCATTTTATAAATTATAATAAAGAATGTACTGTACCTGCCCAATCACAGAAAAGAAGCAACCTTGGTTCTCTGCAAAGCCCTTTCTGCTCTGCTTTGGAAAACAATGCAAATACAAAACTTCTACTCCTGGAGCCAAGACACATGGATAGTCTATACTTCCCATCCCTAAACACTCCTTCACCCATACATACCCACACACCCCATACTACATTATGGATGACTTCCCTTATTACCAATCTCCTTTCCTTACTGTACAGTAGTAAAGAAAACGAAAAAGAAAGAAAAAAGAAGAAGGAAGCAATAGGAAAAACACTGAAAGGTTACAAATGGAAAAAAACCCCACTGCATTTAGGATCACTAGATAAAATTCTGCAAGTTACTCAGGGCTATTGCACAACCAAAGCCTAGTACGTAAGGTTGCACACTTGAGATCTTCCTTTGGTGTATCCCTGACTGTAGACCAAAGAACTGCTCAGTTTTGATCCCAAACAGGACTAACGTGCGCAATAAATGTACCACTTGGTCCGAAGTTAGTAACGGATGCTTCAAGTGCATCTACAAGGTTTATCGCCATATGGAGAAGAAAAGACAACTGAAAGAAGTGGAACAACCACTGCTTTTGTGAAGTTCTGGAAGAACATTGCAACCAATGAATTAGAAAATATTTATCTAATGTGTAATGTGTAAACAGGCAACTAACTAACTAAATATTTAAAAAATACTCCAATTTATCCAATTTATAAATGGTGCAACAGGTATGATAAATTTGAGTTGAATGAAGATAGAGTATATTTTCACTCTCCAGAGTCTTAGAAATTATTTCAAATTGACCTGTGGTCATCTTCACCACCATTTTCAAAATGCTAAGAAAACCACATCAACCACTTTGCCTTTCAGCTGATAAATAAGAGAGTGCAAAAAGTGAAACTCAACCGCACCCTTATGCGTTTTTATTATGGCAGTGATGGTGAATCTTTTCAGCTTGGTGTAGGGTTTCCTGCCTGAGCAGGGGGTTGGACTCAATGACCTCCAAGGTCCCTTCCAACTTTTATTATTATTATTATGGATCATTGCACAGTCAGCCAGATGTTCAGACTGGATTTGGCATTTTGTCTACCTATCGAGTCCTTACCCAGGACCTGGGATAGGCAGATGTGGATGTTTGCTGGTGTTGTGTCCTTAGCCTACAAAGGCAGGCTCAGGACGTTGCAATGGTCCCGGGCAGTTGCAAGCTGCCCGGGACCAGACTGGCTGGCACCAGCGCTCGCGCGCATGCGGGAGGCGCGCCGCGCGCCTAAATGTTGCTTTTTGGCCCGGGGATCATCTTTAAGAGAGGCTGAGAGGTTTGTTCTGCTCAGAGTTGTAACGGAGGCTACTGAAGACCAATAAAGAGTTCCTGAAACCACAGAATGTCTCGCGCCGTCATTGCCATTAACCGAGGACTCAACACTGGCAACGAAGGTGGGATAGCCTTACAATTACACAAAGAATTGTAAGCTTACCCTGGAGGCCTGAGACAGCGAGGAAATGGCGTTAAATTCAGCAACTGCCTGCCAATACAGCTTCGTTGTAGCTAAGCTGGCTGATAGACCCTTCCTGCTTTACTGAAGATGGTAAAGATAGGGAAACTTTCTGAGTTTGATGTTACACATCCAGAAAGATGGGAATCTTATGTGGCCCGAACAGAAAATTATTTCAGAGTTAATCAAGTAAGAGAAGATGGCTTAAAGGCCGCCACCCTACTGTGTGTTTGTGGTCAAGATGCATTTGAAATTGCTGAAAATTTAGTAGCCCCTGCACCTCTTGAATCTGTTACCTACACAGATTTAAAGAAATTATTAAAAGAGCATTTTCAGCCCAAGTTATCTGTTACTGCTTGGAGACATACTTTTGAACAGAGGGACCAACGGGATGGCTGAACGGATGGTCCACATCACCAAGGATGCTTTAAAGAAACTGACCTATTGGGACTGGCATCACAGGTTGGCTGACTTCTTCCTTGCTTACGGCACTACACCTTCCACTTCTACGGGGAGAAGCCCAGCTGAACTTCACTGGGGGCGCAAGCTGACTACTAAACTTGACCGGTTTCACCCGAACAGACTGCCTCCTAGGGGTACACAACCCAGGGCACCGAGGCAATTGCAAGTGGGTGCCCCAGTATGGACCCGCAACTATGGGCCAGGTCACTTGTGGGTTCCTGCTCTAGTTTGCAAGGTTACAGGTCCTTTGTCCTACGAGGTCTCCTTGGATGACGGTCGTATCCTGCGACAGCATATCGACCAGCTGCGTACAAGACTGGACTTACCTTCAGAGACTCCTGGTTCTTTTCCAGGGAGGGAGGGGGACCCCTACGGGCAAAGGGAGGGGTGTTGGCAGCAACCAAGCCCCAACAGAGAGGCCACAGACAGCCTATCATAAGATTCCGTGAGTGTTCCGAACAGGAATTCAGGGGAACCAGCTAGCGCACAGGCTACAGTGCATACTCCAGCCAGGGAGTCACCCCGGGGGCATAATCATTACACACTTACACCTTTCAGCACTCCAGTCAGGGAGAAGAACCGGGAGCATCCTAATAACTCAAACATTGCAAGAGAGTTGGCACACAATCAACGCAATTGGCCCAACATCGCCACCGTCCCCAGAAAAGGACACTTCCACAGGGAAGTGATAGAAGGGCCAAATCCAGATCCTGAACCCTCTGGTTCAACGGAGGGGACAACTGAGTCTTGGAACAGTACTGAAATTACAGACAGTCCTACTATGGAACTGGGGAGTGGAGAAAGGCAGCCTCATGCTAGGTCCAGTGTGGGCTCGAGAGGCTCTTCAGAGTTGCCCAACAGTGGCAGCCTTCTAGAGGGGACAGAATGCCTGCAACTAGGCAGGTCAACCAGGTTAGAGAGAGAGCAAAGTCCTGGTCTGACGAGCCCGTTGGGCAAGCAAGCAGGCCAGGCAACGGGGCATGGTCCACGGGGGCCACCAGGGTCTGAGAAAGGGGGTGAACCTATAGCCTCCTCTGGACAAGGTGTACCTGGGAATTATCAGGGTCTACGCAGATCACAGAGAGATAAGAGGTCTCCCAAATATCTTGAAGATTTTATAACTCTGTTGGCCAAGCAGAAACAGTAAGAGGGTGTTTCTGTGGAAGCCGGAAAAGGGGACACTGGGGAATTAATCCCCAGAACAATAGCATGGTACCATTGAGCAAGGTGGACACACCACGCTTGTATTGAGGTCGCGTGTAATTATTCATGTAGTCTTAGCTGGGGGGGAAGGGGTGTTGTGTCCTGAGCCTGCAAAGGCAGGCTCGGGACATTGCAATGGTCCCGGGCAGTTGCAAGCTGCCCGGGACCAGACTGGCTGGCGCCAGCGCTCACACGCATGCGCGAGGCGCGCACCGCGCCTAAATGTTGCTTTTTGGCCCGGGGATCGTCTTTAAGAGAGGCTGAGAGGTTTGTTCTGCTCAGAGTTGTAACGGGGGCTACTGAAGACCAATAAAGAGTTCCTGAAACCACAGAATGTCTCGCGCCGTCATTGCCATTAACCGAGGACTCAACAGATGGTATTACAGATATCGTCGCAGGATGGAAGCAGTTCCTAGTAAGGCCGCCTTTTGCAATTGACTAATAGTGAATTTGTCAATGCCAATGGTGTTCAAATGGTGCTCCAGTTGTTTTGGGATTGCACCCAAGGAGCCTATTACTATTGGTACTACTCTTGCTTGCTTTTGCCACAGTCTTTCTATTTCTATTTATAGGTCTTTGTATTTTGTTATCTTCTCCAGTTCTTTCTTGTCTATTCTGCTGTCTCCAGGCACTGCTACGTTCACTATCCAGACTTTTTTGTCCTTCTTATCGACAATTGTTA